AGTGAGACTTATAGTCCAGAAAATAAGCAAACAAAAATGAAATGCCCATCTCTTGATGTAGCAGCACCCTCATGCACACGCCGCCAATAAGAAAATGAAAAACCGTGTACAACATGCAATTCGAAAAAATGTGTGCCATGGAGTGTGTGTTTTATGCTGTTTGCAAACAATACAGGTTGCATACAATGCAGGTTGTGTTCAGCCTGCAACTTGGGAATTGCGTTTTTGGCTATTCCATCAGCTACAGTGAAACCCGTTTAGAACGAACCCACGTACAGCGAATTATTGTCGATATCGAACTCACGGTAAATTTAAATACAAATTAATGTAAAAAGTATTTTTTATAACGAACAACATATTGGCTATATCAAATTCTTCCCCCCGGTAATGCTTCCAAAAACGCGCAAACAATCGTCTTCTAGCCTCTCCCTTCGCTTCACCTCCAAAAAAGTAGGAAAGAAAGAAAATTCCCAAAGCTCGAGTGGTGAACAAAATTGAGCGAAGAGAAGCGAAGCGATTCAGAAGGGGAAAAAGCTAAAAAAATCAATCTGTACGCTTGCGCAGGAAAAAAACAAAAAAACTTGTCATCCCAAAGCGGTTGCCCACGAAGAGAAGCGATTCAGAAGGGAAGATGAGCTAAAAAAAAACAAAAACGCATGCAAAAAAAAAAAAAAATTTCCAGCGTGTTGTTACAAGGGGGAAGCAAAGAGAGGAGAAAAAAAGAAAAGCTCTCACCTTAAACGAACGCATCGGGGAAGCTCGTTGTAAATATTTTTTTTTGCTATATCGAATTACTTGCTATATCAAACTGATCGCAGCGTTTCCTGCTGTTCGTTATAAACGGGTTTGACTGTATACATTAAGTATAATTGCTAATGTAGAGGGGAGGCATTTGAATTGTTCATTACACGTTTTATAAGAAAGACAGAGATATACGCATACAGAACGAGGACAATTCAGAATATTAAGGCTTCCTAAAGTATGCAGGTGATTTTGTACAAACATAAAAACACAAATTAAGAACCTCTTCGTTGCACCTCTTGGCAATGCAGCTTTCAATTCTATGATCAATACGGGTCTGTGGACGTTCATAATTTTCAAATAGTGAATCGAAAATCACCTTGTTCAATTCAATATCATATTCATCTATTAGCAATTTATCACAGTTCCAAATATTTTTTAAAAATAATTTCCGAATTGTTGGAACACTTTGGGGCCATGAACTTCCATGTGCCATGGACTTCCATGCACCTGCTATTTGGCTGCAAAACGTCGCTACACTGCTATGTGCCATGGACTTCCATGCACCTGCTATTTGGCTGCAAAACGTCGCTACACTTTTCCCCATAGGCCCAGCTAGTACTGGGAAGTTTTTAGAGAAAAAAAAGCGCAGTGAAGTCTTGAAGTCTTTCGACCGCTCCGGCGTCAGTTCATCCAGGTGCCTCGTGTGTTGTAAAGACAAAAACTAAAACAATGGGTAAGTTGCCATCTTGAGGGGGATGGCAACCTCAAGACGGCAAACTTACCCATTGTTTTAGTTTTTGTCTTTACTTAATCCTACCATTCAACTCTACCGTAGAATACCGTGCACAGTGATGTGATTGGCCGAAGCCGTTTTGGAGCACCTTTTGGAGCAGCCAAAACGGTGTTTTGGAGCAGCAAAAGTGGCCTTTGGAGTAGGTAGAACAGTGTTTTGGAGCAACAAAAGTTGCATTTGGAGCAGCCAGAACAGTGTTTCGGAGCAGCAAAAGTGGTTTTTGGAGCAGATATTCTTAGAAAAATAAAAATATTTGTTTTAAGTGCTGGACGAAGAAAGGGCACTTCACTCGCCGCAATAAACAAATTATGGTCAAGTTCAACCACCTGGGTGTCTTTCAACATGTAACTGAAATGCCAATGACATGACACATTTTGCAATGCTTCAGTTAAATTATACATATATATGTACCGCTATTGATAAATAAGAACCAAACTGCACATATTAAAATTTGATTGAAAATGAACACGTTATTAGTAAATAAGCTGGTCTATTAGTAAATATGCTAGTAGGTTGACCTACCGTAGTTATATAATAAATGGAAGCAGTCTCCGACTGATGAAACACGTAACTGCTGCAGTGTAATGCGAAATTGTACACAAGACAAAGGAGCTTTTCTTTTTTCTTTTTGAAACTGTTTAGTACAAGGCTGCTGCAAGCCTCGCTTTGCCTTTAACTAGTAATGAATTCCCACTTTCAATGTCTCCAAAGAGACATTGAGACATCCCACAAGTGAACAGTGCTGTGGCCGTTGCCGAGCGATTCCGAAAAACGGCTTGCCACCGTTTAACTGGTTCCCGACGTGCCAGATATTCGTCAAAAGTAACCAAACGTAAAACAATGGGTTGCAAGTGTCCCGGCTGGTGCCTCTGTCGTGCAGTCATGTTCGCATGCACATGAGGGCAACTTCGGCAGGCTTGCATTTGCACGTGCTTCGTCGCGCGAGCGGAGATGGCTGTTCGATCGAAACAGACACCATGCCACTCCGCTCCGTCGCCAATTGGTTCCCAAAATTGTATGAAAAATGTAATTGTGCAGCATACGACAAAAAACAGTCCAGCGGCAAGTGCTTGCCAGGCTGGCAGGCGAGGTACAAGCTAAACACACAGAGAAAAAGAACCTGAACGAGTCAGGTCAAAACAATACATCGCGAGTCAGGGTCAAAAATGTACTTGGAGCGCTTTGTACAACGACTGAAGCACAGAAGCGTCAACACACGCCCACGTCTATCGTTGAAATTGTTTTTAAAAAGACGCGAGACGAGACCACGGTGTAGACGAGACACATGAACGACGAGCGCGTGAAACGCATGGAGAATAGAACGGTAGGAGAGGGCATGACGTCGGCCGCGTAGCCTCCACAAGCCATGCTCCCTTGCAGGAGGTGTTGTCCCTTGACGCCTCGCCACTTTCTCATTTCCCTCCTTACTCTCCTCACTCACCATGCCAACGTGACCACATCACGTGACCGTAGCTAGCCTTCGTCTTACTGTAGGCTACTAGAATACACCACAGTCTAGCCTTCGACCTGATAAAACCTACCGGACGGAGCGCGCGCAAGCCTGCAAGGAGTCCTTCTACAATCAACCATCCATCTCACACGTGACATGTCATGCGCACCAATCGCCAGAGAGATCTGCGGTCACGCTGGGCACAAAATCGTTTAAACTTTTTATGACTAGGCTTCACCAATATTGCAACGTGCCCTCTCCTAGTACTTCTAACCTCCTTGGTGAAACGAGAGGTGGCGGGAAAAACTATACCGGATGGACGATTGATACAGGGTACTTTTTGTTGGGCGGCCGCTTGCGCTACCTAGCTCATGCATGCTAAGTTACGGTACTCAGTTTAGTTTCGGTTTTGAAAGACGACCAAAATTCATCTTTGTAGCAGGATGTAGCAGGGTTCGCCCCTTGGCGCAGTTTGGCGCAAATGGCGCAGCAATCACATCACTGCGTGCATCCGCCCATACCACACTAAGCGCCCCTACCCAAATTGTAAGATCTGAGAAAATATGCACAGAACATTGATATGTAAAATTGATGACCAGACAAGTGCCCATCCCCCATTTTTTTGCGATTAACTCTAAACTTTGAGTGAGCACTTGCCCGGTATTTTATGGTAGTCATTTTCACTCAGCTTTCTGCTCTTACAACAATTTCTAGAAAACCATGTTGACAATAGACTGTAATCTTCTAGGCAGCTTACTCTTTCTTTATAAACAGTCTACCCAGTATTTAGAAACTATTCAGAAATTGCTCGGTTCATGTTGATATTCGATTTGCCGCCACAACTACTCAATTCGTATTCGATTTCAAAGCTTGCTACGTCAACTCTCATTAATTCAAACTCGAGGGGGGCCGAAAATTTGTTTGAATAAAGCAAAGTTTGAATTATCAGGAGTTTCTTCCCATAGAGACGCACAGACGGGGACCTGGACGTTAGTTTGAATTATCCGAAAGTTTGAATTAAGAGATTTTGAATTAACAAGGGTCGACTGTATTTGCCCACCCTATTTATTGACGCTTTGGGACAACACATTTTGGTGTTGAAGTCAAATTTGAGGATTCAGCGCGCCAAACCAACGAAGGAGGTCGGGCGTTCGAAGGACGCGCCCCGCCGTTCTCTCTCGGCATTGACTACAGGTGTTTCGACGAGTGGCCACGCGTCGGCGGATGGCTCGGATCTTCTAAGATGGCGCTTAAGCTGCGAGAACGCTTTATTTGGGGATGGGAAGGACCTCGTAAGCGCGGGGAACCCCGAGGGACTCTGGGAAATCTTTGGGTTCCTCAAATGTATGCGGTAGTGACGCCGAGAGCCTACCGCTAGCTTTTCTTAGAGCAAGGCAGTTGTGGTAGTTGTACAATGCTGGCACTTAAAGTACCGGTACGGTAGAAATTCTTCTTTTGAAATGCCTTTACCACGTAGTAGAAAATGTCGTAACCCGGCACTTCCCAAGCTCTGCTACCCTGCGACCCACCAGAAACGTAAAATATAGCGTTAGGACACGGTAGTATTTCAACAGAGGCTTCTGCGGCCAGCAGTTAGGACGCTGCTCTATACGTCGGATGCTGCAATCTTGGCGGTAGTAGAAGTTCCGGCAAAAGAAAAGAGCGAACTCAAGTGCCACTGTTGTCGCAGCGTCCCAACTCCCGACTGCAAAAGCTTCCGTTAACTGTTGCGCCAAAGAGTGACCTATAGCAGGACGGTCGTCTGCCGCATGCACCTCCGCCGCTACACCGCTGCCAGGACAGCGGCAGACGGCGGTAGGGCTATTCTGCAACGTTGTCGAGCAGAAATCGAGCGACCTTTTTTTTTGAGTAGTATGCGTAAAACATGGCAGTTCGGGACGCGTTTCAGGCACCATAAAGAAACTGAAGAAACGAGAATCCGGCGAATAAGTTGGTCGGCGGCGTTTGCTTGCGGTTGTGGGGAACGAAGGTGAGAGGGAAAAAGAGACTCACTTGTGAAGATACTGGAACATCTTCTCGTCGTCTGAGCTCCCGTAGTCGGATGTCCACGCGTAGCCGATGGTGAACTTGTGGAAGCGCAACATGTCCATCACGCTGCAATAAGGATTAAAAGTCCTTAAACCGAAAGTATGTCGTCCGCACATAAATTTACGGGGTTTCAAACGAAAGGAATAGACACCTGTTTTTGGATCGCCCGGCTGCCAAAGTGGAAATCACAAACCGCACGCAACTCGCAATTTGAAACTTGTGAGCTGCGAGTCACTTAGGTTGCACGCAAAGAGGCATGCGCGTGATACGACATGCAATGCAGGTTGTATGCAATGCAGGTTGCCCACAACTTGCGAATTTTGTGTAATTTCATCTGCTAGGCATTAGAAACTACAAATGTAGTTTCTTATGCAGAAAACGTCAAAGGGGGGGGGCGGGCATATGAACCTTTAATAGTGCGCTTTATATAGAAGTGAGACAAATATGTGGACATTATAGAACTTTGGGATGTTCTGAAGTGCACAGGTGACTTCGTATACTGTAAACGACTAAATTTTTGCGGAAACCTAATTTTCGCGAATTTCGCGAGTCGCCTACAATTTGCGAAAAATACGTCCCGCGAACAATTTGGGCAATATGTGAACGCTACGGGAGCTACACTCGATTCGCGAAAATTAGAACCCGCGAATCATTTCAAATTTACAGCTTCGGCCCGATTCACGAAAATTTGAGCCCGCAAAAATTAAGTTGTTTACAGTATTCGTAAAAACATAAATTAAAACCCTTTGCTGCACCTCTCATCAGCACAATGTGCAACGACGCCAGCTTCATGCAAACTGGAGCAAAAGGTCAGCAATGAAGAACCACATATGATTTCTTATAACATGCCACTCTTGTACCAAAAGAAAAATGATAGTACAGTACACGTCCCTTGTTGTCCTAGCCCGTAGTCGCCGACACAGCGAGAACGGAAGGAAGGAGCACCAGTTGTCCCACCTTCAGTGCAAGCTTCCTAGCTTCAACAATGCTTTAAAGTTTCGTTTACCTCGAGCATGCACAGCCAAATCAAGGCGGAAGGTACACAACCTGTCCCGGAGGACAAGCGTTCGAAAAACGCGCCCCACCATCCTCACCCTGTCGGCGACTACGTCACCTCAAAATCCGGCCGCGACCTTAGAGGGCAATGCGGCAGGGTTTGCTCTTTAGAGGCAAGGACTGCCCCTCCATTCTCGTAGTATCGCAAAAAATGCAGGCATACCAGTCCCTGTTTTGTCGCCTGCAAAGCTACGACCATCTCGGCCGTGCACTTGGAGACGCCGATTCAGTCCATGCCAGAGAAGAGAAAGAAATGGAGCACTGACCCGACTTGAGAGATGACACACTTGTAAAGATCCGGACGTTGATTGGCACACGCAGCCACCAGGAGTCCACCGTTGGAACCGCCCTGAATGACCAGCCTGCACCAAAGACACCGGCCTCAAGTTAACAACCCCTTGCCTACAGTGTAATAAGGAGTGTCGCTCGTGCCACCCCTTACGGACCATAAAGCCCGACCACGAGCGTGACTCTCGTTTCAGTTTCGGAGCTTGTTTAGCGTGCTCTCTGGCAGATGGCAAAACCACCCCTGTTGCTCCATTTACCTTCGGTAGTCTGCTCGTTTGTTTTGCTGTTTGACAGAGAGAGAATGCTCCATTTAGCTAAGAAAAAAAAAACACAGTCACTCATGAGCGTTTGCGCTAAAACATGGCTTTGGCACGGAGGTCCGTTTTAGCCGACGAAGAGTTACAAAACCTTCCCTTTGAAAGGGATTAATGCTCGGGCGTATGAGAAGACGAATCCTTTGGCCTTTCCGATTTTTAGGAATCGGACGATAGTTTGATGGGCAGTGACAGGAGTGATGAAAACGATGAAAATCCTGCAAGCGTTCCGTCAACTTTGGCGTCTGCATGTCAGTGGGACTCGGACCAGAAGTCCTGATTGAGAGCAAGATATGACAACTGGAAGTCGAGGAAATGTTTTCGTCGTTTTTTATTGCAAAATGACTGTTTAAAATAAAGTTTTGCTCTACATTCCTCGAAGAAAACAATGAGTCGGCAAAGGGTTAAACCGATTGCGGCGCAACTACAGCAACATACCGCCGGAGAACAAGCGTAAAAAACTGTTGCCGAAATCGCTGCGCAGACAGTCATTGAAGTGTGACAGAAGTTTGGACTGCCTTGAACTGCGTAAACGTCGCTTATTACACTTCTTAGGAACTGCCGTGGAAATCCTAGCAATATTTTTATTCATGTACACGGAGTCTTCTATCACATTTACAACGAATTCCCCTAATTTGCTGTCCCAACTGTCTACATCCCGTGGGTGGGCCTACCGCAACCTGCCAACAACTTTTGCTAGAGCTTTACTGCAATTAAAATGTTTATCTCTTTGGTTTATCTCTTATCTGTGAAAGCAACTGTACATGCAACAGACTGCACAGGCAACTACAAAAGGAAGAAGCTGTATAAGCAATACAAGCAACAGACTGTACAAGGAACTATACAACGACGTAAGGAGTGGGGTTACAAAACAATTGAACGCAGACTTTATAAGCAGCAGACTGTACAAGCAACTATATGAGCAACAGACTGTACAAGTGACTATACAAGAAACAGAGACAGACTTTGAAGCAACTATTCAAGCAGCAAACTATACAGGCAACAAACAAAGCAAGTAACTATGCAAGCAATGGATAGTACAAGAAACTATACAAGCTACAGACTGTACAAGCAACCACACGAACAACAAACTATACAAGGCAAGGAAGTATTGAAGCAGCAGATTGTACAAGCCAATATTCAATAACAAACTGTACAAGCTAACTATTCAAGCAACAGACTATAGAGTTACTATACAAGTGACAGAGCATACAAGCAAGCAACGGACGATACATGCAAACAACAGACTACATAAGTAACAAACTCACTTGTCCTTGGAGGTGTACTTGTTCTTGATCAGGTACTCTGCGGCAGACTGGAAGTCATCGAAGACGTTTTGCTTGTGGAGCAGACGGCCCCCGTTGTGCCAAGTCTCCCCGTATTCCCTAAACGTAAGGGGAAAGAAAATTTGTCAAGTCCCGTTTCCCAACGGCACTCCATAGCCCCGAAGAAGTAGCATCTATAGATAGGAAAAATCGGTGAAATAAAGAAATGAGGTGCCGGGGTAAGGACAAAACATCCAGAAAGTGAGAAGCAACATTATTACGATTACTGTACACAGCCTAGAAACCCAAAATGCTGCACAGTCCTGTAACTTTGTATTTCAAGTTTGATCAAGATTAACAATGGCATCCAGCTAACGGCTGTACTTTATGGAGCGACACACAAGTGACGAGTTTTTTCTGGCGACATTCACTATGAATCAAGCGTCAACAACGAGGCTGCTAAGTCATGCACAAAGCAAACATATTGCCCACCAGAGTTGCATCTTTTCTTCAAATTAAGAGTGGCAATCAACTAAGCATCTTTATTCTGACTTCCATATCTTGAAGTTCTTGAGGACACTGGCCAATTCTCTCAATGTTTGCTAAGTTTGAGCAAAAATAAGTAAAGCTAGGTTCCATTTGAAAATAGCTTTAGCATTACCTAATTCCTAATTTTTAATGGACATTTAAAACTTCTTTTTCAAACATAAGTAAACTGGATCACAATCTTTCCTTTTCCCAAGCTCCAGTTTTAATGGTTTCCCCTAGCTCCACAAAAAAAAAACATTTATTAAACATTTTTTTTTAACTTACCTCGATTATTTACATAAAAGCAAGATATACAAGATGTGTTGGGCATATCTTAGACCCTTTGATATTGTGGTTATTTTAAACTTCTTTCATCTGTATTGCTCTTTTTGACTTTTGGAAGACTTGTTTGAGAGGCTAAGACACACAGAAGGCACATTACGTATAACCTCCCCGTTAAATTTAGCGAGGAACTTTGCCATTAAACATAGCGGTAAAGCCGATTCAGACATTTTCGTTACCATTATACTCTAAAACGTAAACGGAGTTCAAAAAATAAGAACTGCAAAAAATCCCCAGAAGAAACACTAGTTTTGTTGAAAATACTTATTCTTCCTCGGAGCCTTTTCGCAACGGAGTGGGACCCTGAAACACCCTGCCACTCACCCTCCGCCCCTAAGGTTGGCCAGCGCAAAGACAAAGCCCAGGTGCTGCATGAGGAGCAGGTGCGAGACGCTGAAGTACGGTTGCAGGCTCACGTTGAAGCCTCCGTAGCCGTACAGCAGGCAGGGAGAGTTGTCGGGGAGCCCCTGAAACGGATGCGGTGTTGCCCGTCAATCTTACGTAGACCACTTTCTCAAACCCTGAAACGACAGCTCGCCGCAACCTAGGCCCCCTCGGGTTGCAGCAAGCTAGCCCAACCAATCCACTAGCCCAGTCGGTAATGCTATACGGCTCTAGGAGAACCGGCGGTCGAGCGCGCCAGTGCATCGCAGCTTAGATTATCGGGAGCAAAAGCTCGCGCTCGGAACTTGGGGATTCTGAATTCAGAATCCCTGTCCGTTCCGATCTGGATGAGCATCGTGCCTGCGCGTGTTTGTGGATCACTACTGCGTAGTTTACGTTGGTCTTTCCTTCAGGGACCCCGATTTTCCTCAAGATTGGCCGAACAGACCAACAAACATAGCTGAATCAGTAACCCAAATATTCGGTCAAAATAATTAATTTTACCGAAGTTATTGAATTTATAATTTTGGTCTTCACCGCTCTTTCGGGACTGAAATTTTTTACTGGGAACAATGAAAAACTGAGGGGGTTAACTCTTTGGATTGTAGGATTTGTTCCCAACTAATTACGAGCAGTTTCATGGTGTCAAACGAATGCTTTGAAAGCTCGCCTAAAAAAACCCTGAAAAGAAGAAAAAAGTTTTTTTTTTTCAACAGTCTGGTTGGGAACGCTTGTCGAGAAATAAATTTTACACACACAAAAAAAAAAAAAAATCTTCAAGAGCAAAATTGACGGTGAGAGATTTCTTTGAAATTCTGCGCGCAAAGTCCATGACGTCACGGAATGGTCATTCACTCTTTCCACCTCAATGAGATGGTGATTCACTCTCTCCACCTCAACGTGAAGGCGAAGCCGATCCACCTCTCCTCGTCCGAAATGCAGAGAGAGGAAACAAGTGGAAAGGAGGTGACTACCGACTAAATTGCGTCTCGAACCGTCAATAGTGCTCTAAAAAAACTTTCTTCGTGTAAAATTAATTTTTTGACAAGCGTGTCCCAACCAGACCGTTTAAAAGAAACATATTTTTTCTTTTCAGGGGCCCTTTAAGCACCCATGCAGCAGCACGAAACAAATGCTCAGCATACTCGGTTTCTAAGGCTCCCTGCCCGACCCAGAATCCTGCCTGCCAGAAATGTCACGGCATTAAAAAACGCGGGCATATTCGATGTTGGTTTTGGCATTGCGGTCAGCTGCCGATTTCACAATAACTATTCTGAATTTCGTGATACAAAATAGCATGTAAAAAAGAATAAAGTCCAGCCGCTCAGGAGATACAGCCAGCTGATGTAGTAGCTCCAAAGGTTACCGTAGTACCCCTTTAGAGATCCCAGGCTAGCAGCGGTACCATACTGGCTAAATTTCTCATCTAAAGCAAAAGCCAGTGTCGCCATACCTCAAAGGCAGACCGACCTTACACCACCTAAACACAAACATCCAATTCCCATTTTAACGCAGAATATGTTTTATGAGTCATTGTCTACGAGAAAAAACCTCGTGAATGATCATCATAACAAGCTTCGTGAATGAGTGGCATGCTGGGAGCATTACACACGTCAAGGTCATACATACAATTTATACACAAAGTTCGAGCCCCGGCAAGCTCGAACCTAGGTCGGTGCGATGGCAGTCTGATACCATAGTCCCTGAGCTACTAGAGCAGCTGGCTTGGAAGGGTGAACAATTTTATTTGTACGCAAACGTGCTTGCGAGAACAGCGGGTCTCGGGTGAAAATAATAAAATAAATAAATAAAATTTAGAAATAGAAACGAATAACTTAGAAATAAAAATAAAATACAAAAATAAAAAAAAATTAATAAAATAAATGATAAAACTTTAAAAATAAAATAAAACAAATAAGAAAAAAAATGACGCCAAAAAGAATGAAAAATCTAGCACAAACCAGACACCAACCTTGGTATGTGTGCATTCTGTGCACCCCGTCTTCGTCAGCACGGTCAAGCCTGTATGTATACCCGCCGGCAATATGAAGGTGAACACCTTACTGGGTTTCTTGCCTGTTTTTCGGCTCCCTAAAGATATATTAACTCTCAACGTCTCAAATCGTATGTGGCTTGGGGTGTAAACTTTGCGTTCTAGCCCTCTTCTGGAACAGAGCTTGTTCCAAAACTTGCAGGAGCGTCGAAAACAAGAAGAGGGCTGTTCACTTTTATATCGCTCTCGGGTGTACCTTCTTTTCATACAGCTCTAGAGATTGCTCAACATTCTATCAGAGGCGTCGCGAGGAACGAAGGAGGGGAAGGCGTCGTACCTTCTTCCGGACGATGAACATGGGCACCTTGCAGCCGTCCTTGCTCTCAAAGAACACCTGCTTCACCTCGAACTTGCTGCCATCGAATCCCGGGGGCGTGATCTTCTTGAACACCTGCGCACCACGCGGACAAAGTTAAGGATTCGGGCCACGCAGCCAAACGACAATGTGTACAGAGCAGCAGCAGGTAGCGACCAGTGCTGAACCAGCACGACGAGAAACAGAGGGAAAGGAGGAGATGACAGCACGCAGAATGTCGGAAGCTCTGACTGGAACGATCACTAGGTATAGATGCAGAGGACAGCTGCCTTTGCATATCTACCCACGGCCTCCATCCAATCAGGGCGAAGAAGAGTGTCGTCTAGGGCTGTGCTAATATTTGAATTTTCGAATACAGTCATGTCTCGTTAATATGGACCCTGCTAATATGGATACCCTGCTATACGAACACCATTTTCGGGGACAAATTGTGAAAATACGTGCACTTTTCTCTGAATAATATGGTCAACATACGTTATGGACGATTTTTTGGGGGAACAGAGGCATCCATATTAACAAGACACCACTGCAGTCGTTTCGAATAATATGCTATTCGATATTTGATCTGAGATGAGCTGCGATATTTGTTCTTTTCCCAGTGTTGATTGCGGCAAGTTAGCCGAGCCAAGCGTGCTTCTCACCGAGCACTGTGGAAAAGTTACACCCGTGGAGCTCGCTTACGCTGCGGTGGCTTCTCTGCAGTGCGCTGATGCTCAGTGAGAAGTGCGCTCAACAGGGCTAACCCATTGCAATCAACAATACAAAAACTACAAATATTGCAGTTGCGAGTGAGAAAAGTGCACTTTCAAAGATGGACAATGCACCCGCGTGCCTGGCACGTTTTAAGGGGGAACGGAAACTTGACAAATTTTGGTATCTACATTACAGTCAAATTTTAAAACTTATGTGGTCATTGTGCGACAGTACATATTGGGTACAGATGCCCGGACAACTTGCATTCTTCATAAGTAATTGCCTCATATTTTTCTTTTTAGGGGCGAAGCTCCTTAGGGTCTAGCCTTGTCCGTCCGGCGTCCGTGCTTACATCAATATTGCTGGTGCCGTGCTCGTGTTCGTGAGCTCACGTGCTCAGATAGGGCAAACAATATATATATATAAAAAAAAAACAAATTTGCGCAGTCGACAGGATTTGAACCTGTGCGGGGAGACCCCAATGGATTTCTAGTCCATCGCCTTAACCACTTGGCCACGACATACGGGACGAGTAGGGGGCTCTGAGATGTGGTAGTAACTCAAGAGCTCCGGATGTCATGGATGAAACGTTGCATGTAGCCACTCAATGTCTATACAGGAGAGGGCGCTGCGGTCAAATGCGTATATAATCGTGTTAAACTTTGCATGCATTGGCTCAACGTTTATAGACGAGAGGGCGCTGCGGTCAAATGCTCAAATGCATATATAACCACGTTCCATACCACACATTCTCTTTCTGACATGGATGAAAACGAACGAAAGGCTCGGCATGCTGCGGCTCACCGTCTACAGTATAGACCACTTACAACGTAACCGCTTATAGTGCAGGACCGGGTATAATGCGGTTTTTTTAAACCACCGGTTCGCCTCCCATAGAACTCCATGTAATTACATACCGCTTAAAATGCAGGCGCGCGAAGGGAAATACCGGTTATAGTACGGTTTCTGGCACAGCCCGCCGACCGCGCCGACGACCGGAGCAGCGAGTACGCTTGCCTGTGCGACACTAGATAACGGCGCTGACGGCGCGAGCCGCAAGCGTTGCGCAAGCGGCACTCGCGGGGCAAGGAGGGTGCTCGTTGCTCGGAGAAGCGGGAGAAGTGAAGAGAGAGGCTTCAGTTGCCCTAGCGACGGAGGGACGCACGCACGTGTCGTTCACGTGTCTGCGTCTCTCCGCTGCGTTGGAAACCAACAACCGCAACGACAGACCAATAGCAGGTCGAGGAGAAGTGTTCGCGCGCGTTGCATGCTATTACAACGCTTCTCCTCTCCTCCTCCCGTCGCGGGCCGGCTGCTTCTATCCGCGAACATGGCGTCCGTTGTGATCAACGTTGTGATAGTCGTCGTAGACGGCGTTCATCTCATCGTTCCGTGTAAAAGCGCTATCCTTGACTGTGAATTTTCGTTGTTTGTCGCTATGATAACCCAGCACGTACTGGAAGGGAAGATCCACCTACTCGAGCGGCGGTGTCGTGGCGGCGCTCTCAAGACGGCAGAAACGCCCGTGTCGTCGTGTTTGTTTACTTCGACTACAGTGGTGATTTCTAAGCATTTGTGTCCTCAAACATCGCACGGATTCCTTATTTGGCGCATTTCATGCGTGTGCTCAAGTTCAAGGTATTACTGGCGCGTACCGTATGAAGGATGCGAATTTTCACACGTTTTCATCTCCGGAGAAAAGTGATTAGGGTTAGCAATCGTGAACACTCGCAACACCCGTCCGCAACCCGCGACGCTGCTAAGAGGCTGCGCCAGGCAAAAGCCGCTAATTTCTTTCAAAATGTGTGACACACTTGAGAGAGAAGTGTACAAGTCTGGTGAAATAAAGGCTTTCCTCAAACTAAGCTTTATTTTTCATCTAACATAAAATAAATTCTTTTATAAAGGTAAGTTGTCACATGGCATGTATTTTGGCCTGAAAAATTGATGTTTCGGTTATAACGCGATACCGCTCATAGTGCGGATTTTCGCGACTCCCGCGACATACGTTATATGCGGTCTACACTGTACGCAGACAAGCACCACCAGAGCTTCGCACCAATCAACATCATTCATCACGTGGAGATGCGGTCAATTTTTTAATTCGAGATTGAAGAAAGGATTTCTGCATATAGAACGAAGATTTACAAATCGCCTAAATTAGGTGTAGCTGGGCCTCTATAGGTTTCATTTTATGTCAAATGCGTTGTTGACTTGCATCCCGGTGTAAGCGTTGGACTCTCTGAGGCCACAGTTCATAAATAAAGTTAGATTAAAATTAACTTAGCTTGGAAATGGACGATCGGAAACTTGGAACAACCTTCATGGTTCAGCTGGGTTTTCGCTTAAGCAGGGAGCGATAACGGAAGGCTCAGAGAAACTATTCGGTACTCGATTTGAGAATCTTCGGCCAAAACCACTATTTGCTTCGAATGCACTTCAAACTCAGAATCCACTACTACAGTTGAACCTCGATGTAACGAAGTCGGTAAAATTCGCAATTTACTTCGTTACATTGAAATTTCGCTAAATCAAAATTTGGCTTTAGCATGGGAAAAAGAAAAAAATTCCGAAACATTTTACGGGTATGAAAACTCACCAAAAATGACATTTATTTAGGGGCAAAGTAGTCCGCGAGTTTTGCTTGCGCCTTGTCCGACAGTAGCAGCGGCGTCGGCGGCGTCATACGGCGTTCGAGTGCACAGAGCGCTTGCACGGTATCTTGCTGCTCATGCGACGCCGTGTACCTCCTCAGTATGTCCATTGCATCGAGCACTTCCCGAGTGCTCGTGATCTTGGCAGTTTCTTCAGGATGGCGTCCAAAACGTTTGCTTTCTCATCCAAAGAAAGAACTTTACGTTTCCTTATGGCAGCAAGCACGTGAGTGAACCGCCCAGTTGAAAAATAGAGCTGTTTAGTTTAGGCGGTGCCAATGTTTCCAACCGACACAGCATTCTTGCCCGCACAGTTTACTTGCCCCTTTGCGCCCACAGTGTGCTTGCGCCTTTGCTTTACATCACGCTCGCAAGACGATAATCGGTCTTCTCCTAGATGGCACTGCCCGTGCGGTCGCGCCATCACGTCGCACGTCGCTCCCCCGCTGAAGTTGGCTCCCGCGCTACACGCGGTACAGTGGACTATGATGATCAGTGAATGTCAGTGGTGATGCTGTTATGCCGTGTTAACTTTTTACTCGGCATTTTCTGGCCAGCCTCGCGAAATCCGCTTTGCCGCATGCCTCGCCGGCGCTACCGGCGCCGCATCCTTGGGCAGCCTAGGTACGTTGGAAGGCCTGTCCCCGTGAAGTAACCTATCAAGCGCTCGCGTTTGCGCATAATTTTTTTTTTTTTTAACCACAATTTTTTTGCGATGTTGTTTTTTAGAGTTGATTTATTTATTGCCTTCTATGGCAATGGCGCTTCGTTATATTGAAATAGCAGCAAAATAGACTTCGTTATATAGGGACTAAAAATACATGGGGTCTATGGGCAAGAAATTATGAAAAATGAAATACTTCGTTAAATCGAGGATTTCGTTACATTGAAGTTCATTATATCGAGGTTCATTCGCATGTGCCTAGTGTCTTCCAGTCCTCGCGCAGTGTCTCACGTTCAAACTCCGCATGCCGGCGTGTGGCGTACGAATCCGTTCAAAGAGCGAGGAGAGACAAAGACAGCCCTTTGTGTCAAGCCAATCCAATCGAAGCTTAACGCTCTAACGATCCCTCATGCTATTATCTCCTCCACTTTGCTAATGCAAAAGAATTAACTGTCCCATAGAGCCGGAATTATTAGCCGGCGTTTTCAAGCTTTTGAGGCCACACCAAACGGCACCTAAATTCCCCTGTCCCATGGAGCGAAGGCTGTAGTCTGTAGCAGCCACCCCATTGGTTGGCGCGCAGCGTAGTAGTTCCAAGGAACCCCACCCCACAGAAAAGTCTCCTCCATGGTGGCGCAGCGGCCCACCACTGGTAAGAGGGAGCGGCCGGTTGCAGAGCCAGCAGAGCCTGCCTGGGCAGACTCCGGAGAAGCAGTACGGCCAAGCTCAGGGCGGTGCAAAGCTTGTAGGAATACGCTACATATACAAATGCTTTCGCATTCCGACACATTAGCAGTCTTAAGTGTCTTTGTAGTTTTTCTCACCATAGTATCTTCCCCCCTCTTCCCTCCCCCCCCTCTCCCCAAAAAATTCTCATCTGTAACATGAAATGATTCAGCCTCCTCTCTCTATACTGTGCACGCCCAGGCTGTGGGTCACACCGTGTGCGCGTCACCAAACGAGAAGTGGTGTGGTATGCTGTCGTCCCTATAGATAAGCCTGTGTTGCACCTCTACAATAAAAGCGAGATGCTCACTGGAAGTGCTCTGGTCTTCTTTGCGACACCTCGCAAGAGAAAGAAACCGACTGGAGGAGACATCACCGAACGCTAGTGGCTGCGGCACGGAGGCTCGGCGCGTTAGTCAAGGCTTCAAAGAAGGAACGGCACGTTTTGTCGCCGTGACTGCACTGCATTTTTAGCGGGTAAAGAAGTAAAGAGATAAGAGCAAAGAAACAAAGCATCTTTACTGAATAAAAATGTGGAGACATTTGATGCTTAGCCATCCGCTATAGGGAAGTTCCACGAAACGCTTTGTTACTTCTGGCAGGGTGCGTTCCACCGTGTTGACGAACAGCGTCTGCCACTCTCTCCACTGGTTGGTGTGCAAACGCCTAGTTAATGGCATCTATATTGGTGCTGCTAAAATGCATCAGCATGGCGAGTCGCTCCGTCGACTACAGAACTCGAGAAGTATGACTGGGGACACGCTTAAGACCATAGAAAGCAATGCTTATTCCGTTTTTTCCTCTCGGAGACACCCCGACATCACCTATGGTGGCCATTTTGGCTACCAACAGGTCAACTTCTCGATCGCTGGCTCATTCGAAGTTCAAATAAAGTTTGGCGTTTGCAAAGTCCAGGACGACATACTTTTATGCTCCTGACCACTCTGGCTCGCGCAGTCGATCTCGACGCAAAATAACTCGAGTGAGCTAAAAAACACTGCCTCCGCAAATAGGTAGAAAGACATACGGCGCAACTTTATCAATGGGGCGTCTAACAAAACTTCAAGCCGGAGGTATCTCGAGTGAAACCGCCCAATGGGGTTTGTTTCAATTTAATTGGTGGAACGCGGCCTTCATTGAAGAAGCGCAACACCATCGTGTTTCGACGTAGTATTCAGCGAAGTACCACAGAAACACGGCCCCATTCTTTGGCACGCCTTCGTCGCGTCGGCCTCGCGCATTAACTCCCACGTTGCAGTCCGGGAAGATTCACGTAGAAAAGGAACTGGACCCACCTTGGGGCTGAGCGGCTCCTTCTTGAGATCACAGTGGTAGATGGTTCCGGGCGTCAGGAAGGACGTGAACAGGTAGAAGATCTGGAGGGAACAAAGAGGAAAAGGGGGTATGCCGAGGATAAGCTGAGTGAGTGACTTTTCTTCTTCTTCCTGACCGCCACCCATCGATAACCTGCGATAGATGGGTGCAGAGGCCCATTTCACAACTCCCGTGCTTGCTACATTTTTTCATAGGTACTTTGAAGACTACTGTTTTGTTTCTGTATTTCTCTTTTCCTTCCCAAGTGGCAGCAATTTTTGAGCCAAGCGTGAAACCGACAGCCCACTGTTGTTGTTGACATAGGTTTGGGTCCCACGTGCTTGCAAGCGTGGCAATTCTTGTGAATCCTCCTTTGATTTTTCTGACTCTGATAGCAGCGTGGGTCTGACCACAAAGCCAGCTTATCGTATTTCAGCTCGACCCTGCTTTGCCACATTGAGAAACTGCTTATCCGAATGGCATGCCAGCCATAAGGGTCAACTTGACTTTTGGTACTACAAAACCTTCTGGAGTTAAAACTCTAGGTTTTGCAGAATTTTTTGTTGCCAAAAAATAAGGAACATTTCATATATTTGGAATTTTTGGGGGTGCCTTTTGACCCCTGAAATATAGCAATATCTATATCTCATAACGTGCTGCAGAACCCAAGGTTCCATGGTTCTTTTTCCACACCTGACCGTATTGATCTTTACGGGCATGGTACCGGAGCACGGCTGTTTATCACTACTGCGTGATGGAAGTAAAAGACCGCACGTTAGCAGTCATACTGCACCAGCCAAATTTCTCATCTACGACGTAAACCAGTGATGTCGTACCTCAAAGGCAGGCCGACCTTACGCTGTCGAAACGTGAACATCTCATTTAACTTTTTTGTGTGTAGAGACACCGAACTACCACAATTTTCTTTAAAGGGGGAGTGCAACAATTTTAAGAATAAAAGAATTTGCATCTCGTCATTTTTACGTTGTTTATCGTGTCCCAGAGGATAAAGAAAACAACTACTTCATTTAAAAATGTCGCAATTCCGCTTCATAATCGCAAAGCAAAAGCCGAGCTTTTTCGCCTCTTGCAGCCGCGAGTGGCGGCCGAAGGAACTACGGCGAGAAGCTTATGCGACCCCGCTCGGCTCTAAGCTGTAGCATAACGCTTGCTAATATACGCAGAGAGAGGGAGAGGAAGCGTCCCCCGAGAGAGCACACGGGAACCTACATGGTACTCTGAACGACGTCACTAGGAGTGCGACTAAGTGTGACCCTGAAGACTGGGAGTGAGTTAAGGAGTGCCAGAAATGCCAATATTTTTTTTTTACACAACAACTAGGACACGCAGGAAAAATCGGTTTTCTGTTCTTTACTTCAGAAGTGTCAGAGGGCAACTTCCACAAATTTTGACCGAAGTCTGAAAATCGTTGCACTGCCTTTTTAAGTACCTGTACAAGACATGTCACAAAATAAACTTTCCCCAGAAAAAACAACAACATTTAGTGCAATATTGCGTCGCGAGAGCTCATTTAGCGTCTGCTGGTAGTTGCTCAGATCCCCTCAAGTCAAGGTTTGGAAAGCAGCCCAAGCAACGCAGACGAATGGTGATGTTGAAAGAGCCTTAACAAAGCGCTGGATTTCGTGTAGGGTACCTAATGAAAGCCAGTGCGGAGCGTAGATCGAACGACACTTTTGCAACGGGGTTTGGCTAAGACTCAGGTAAACTCAGTGAGGATACCGGTTCCAGCTGAACGTTGACGCAGTCTTTGTATGACCGTCACTCGAGTGCAAAACAGGGAAAGGTTAGCCAGCAATATAATAATACACTGCGTGTACGAAATGCTTTTTGGAAATTGGGCGTTCCTTTAAGGACGAGAAGTACCGACCTCGGAGTCCTTCTTCTTGCCGGAGTAACCGCTGACGGTCCCCACTTCCAGCGGAAAGTCTGCAATCTTGGCACCCGTTGCAAGGCTGTGCAGCTGCAGCACATTCTGAAAGCGACAGAAAAACACAAACCCCGAAATATTCGCAACAACGTGACTACGTGACGAGCGAGATCAAGAGTGGACTCGACGTGCTCAACATACGCTTTCCAGCTTGTTCCAAATTTTATCGAGTTACCATGCGATTTCTTTGCAAATTTGCTTAAGTAGCGGTTCTTCATGGCCGTGAAAGTCTACGTGAGATATATTGCTGCATGACTGTTGCTTTCTGTTTTGCCAATGAGCTCCGAAAAGCATAGACGCTCGTTACGTTTTCAATGATTGCAAATTTTGTTTACTGCAGTCCCCTGAGAAATGTATCAATGTTCCGGAAAGTAGGAAGCTCAGTTGTGCCGCAGGAGGCGAGACAACTGAAGCTTCTCCCCGCTCTTCTCACCTCGTTTGTGACTACGGTCCTCTTTGCACTGTCGCTGCCTTTCGTATTACCCATTTAGTTCACAGCCACGCCTAAAAGTCTGACCCCCCTTATTTGGACGTCGCGAGGGCGGCACACCGCCTTAAACCCTCGGTAACTCAAAGTCATAAAAACTAGAAAGAAATTTGAGACAGGCGAGGTACCAAATTTTTTGTGGCGTCGATCGTGCGTTGTGCGAAAGCGTTGTGCAAGTGACAGTCGTGCCAAAAGACTTGACACTTGCATGGCGCCACGCTGAAAGTAAAACGGCTGAAACAAAACTGTCAACAAGCAACGCTCATAAGATAAAACAGCAAAACCAAAAATGAAAAAAAAAAAGTACAAAAAAGAACAAAAGAAAAAGACAAAGAGCAGAAGATATTGTTCAGCATGAAGAAGAGAGAAACAGCGACACCAATTACCAAACTGTATAGGAGTAAAAAGAAAGAAAGTAAGACAACAAACGTCCTTGAGGCGCACGCTGCTCCTCCGTGCATTGCCATAATTATGACACAAAACAATTTTGTTTTCTTCTTTTTCTTTCTTGTGTTTGCTTTCGAATCCCTGTGCTCTTGTCATCCAAAATTCAGGCTACCAGTTCACTGTTTGCTGTGTCCTGCCTGCATTTTTTTGCTTGTTCGAAACACTTTTTCCCCAAGATTTCGAGATATCCGAGGCTGCTCCTGAAAACGTTTCGAGGATAGCGATGAGTAAAGGCATTGTGCCTATGGGAGTTAATTCCATGACGAGGAAATGTTTCGACTTAGCAAACATTTCGAGATAGCCGAGTTTGAGTTAACGAGGTTCACAGTAGCCCTTTTGTCACCGCTGCTGTCTTTTACATCCCGGGATTAGTTCATAGCCCCACCTGGAAGTTGCGCCACCCTTACCTTGACGTCGCGAAGGTAGCACACCACCAGCTTGTCCTTGTCGACGCACGTCGCCCAGTCAAGCACGTCCTTGTTGTCCTCGGGGATCAGGTCCTGCCAGAACGCCTGGAGGGATGCGAGGACAAAACAAAAGATTACACAGGCTTCACCATACTGACAGAAACCGGGGAGGGCTGAATGTGTTCCGAATGAGCTGGACACATGCTAACTGCCTGTGTGACATGAGGTCACATGACATCATAATGTGGCGTGAAGTCAAGGTGTCACGCGACCTCATGACATCACGTGATTTCAGAGTGTCGTGTGACCATCAAGACGCCACTATGACACCGTGACATCACATTGTCAGATGACACACATCCGATGTCAGAGTCCATGGTGATGATTCTTTGCGACGGTTTTCTCATGAAATTCGGCTGTTGAAGCACACCCCGCGTTAAAAGAACGAGGGTGACAATGAAACACCGAGATGGCAGCTACCAGCAAAACACACACGACTCCCTCTAGGTCCTAGTATGGAAGGACAGCACAAAGTGACCCTCACCCCAATTTCTACCCCAAGCAGCGTACACGATGCATTTAACACGACGATTTAGTTTTTTGTGAATACACACTCTTTCTTTTATTGCGTTCAGTTTCTTCAATTGTCACAGTATGCCGACGCACCAAGCCCTTGCCGCTCACCCGAATGGAAGACTTTTTATGAGTTTTTCGTCATCTGCAACTGACATGTTTATGCCTTTGAATAATTTTAAAAACTTGGCGATGGCAGAACTCTCATGGGATGTCTGGACCTTTACGCTGTTCAGTATTTCTATGTATGTAATGCTAGGATGTTTCACGTGCCTTTTCTTTGTCTGTGTTGTGATGTATCACCGGAAACGTATGTAGCAGTCGGTGGGCATCATCAATAAACAAACAAACAAAAAAAGCATCAATTCAATCGTGCCAACGTGTCGCCCAGATATGGAGGCCGACTCCAGGTTTACTCCTGATAGTAAGGTCTTGTTCCTGCACAATATTCCGAAGTGCGGCACTTTGGCAAAATAGTGAGACATTGAGCCCACAAGCACAACGTCCACGCTCCTGCGTGGTATTAAATTTTGAGAAAGTACATAATGAGCCAGATTATATTCATCGAAAAACAATCGTTCTCTACATGATTCACAAAATTAGAAAAAAAAAACTGGGGTCCCAACAAAGACGCTTGTAACTTCCGGCAAAATGTGATAACCAACAACCTCATTAACATAAAGTACCGGGGGAGCGCCCACCTAACTTTCACTGAAAACTGGAGTAATCCAGACATGGGCGCTCGTCGGGTCAAATCGGATGCTTAACTTATAACTTGCAGAATTCCGAAGTTTGGAACACGTCAATAGCGAGCGCTTTAACGAAGTGGGCACCTCTGCGATATTATACAATAGATCTAGGGCTCAACAATTTCAGTTTAAACTGAAAAAAAAAAGAAGATAAAAGTCTGCTCAATTCATTTTGCCACGTTCGGTTTGAACCGACAAAAACTCAGTTTCTTCAACCGCTGGGTGCACAGAAAAGGGGGCAGGGTTTCGGGTATGGTTCTTTTAGGGGCAAAGCTTCTTAGGGGCTAGCCATGTCCGTATGTTCGTCCGATGTCCGGCGTCGGGGGCTCGTGCTTCTGCTCGTGAGCTCACGTGCTCACGAGCATGTGCTCCCGTGCTTGTGTAGGGCAAAAAAAACAACTGCATCTCCACATGGTGAATGATGTTGATTGGGGCGAAGCTCTGGTGGTGCTTGTCTGCGTAGACGGTGAGCCGCAGCATGCCGAGCCTTTCATTCGTTTTCATCCATGTCACAAAGAAAATGCGTGGTATGGAACGTGGTTATATATGCATTTGAGCATTTGACCGCAGCGTGACATGGATGAAAATGAACGAAAGGCTCGGCATGCTGCGGCTCAGCGTCTACGCAGACAAGCACCACCAGAGCCTCGCCCCTATCAACATCATTCACCACGTAGAGATGCAGTTTTTTTTTTACATACTTTGTGCGCACTGTATACTGCAGAGGGCACACTGACACTACTCAAGCCTTGCAGCCAGAGCTGTGTGAATATCTGCAGTACGCTGTGCTCGAAAATGTGGAACCGGTTCTCTTTTGGCGATTGCATCTGATTGAATGGCTAGCATTGGGTACCGCGGCCCTTCGTCTCTTAGCTTGTCCGTTTCAAGCGTGAACGTTGAGGGGGCGTTCTCTAAACTTATGCTGATAAACAGGAAGGAGAGGGCACATATTAACGAAAAAAACCTGGGCAAATACATGCGTGCACATTACCATCACATTAAGTAATGGTGACCTGATCGGAAGTGAAAGATGTGGTCGCTGTGTGGACCAAAATCTCACTCACTTATACCTGTGTGTGAGTGTTTCTTAATTCCTGTTCCAGTTTGATGAATAAACAGGCCACTTCTAGTCCTGCCATCTTACGTAATTTTATGTTAACAGCAACGCTAAAAGCCAGAATATATATACGCTGGAAAAGCCGAAAACATGCATAGCCGCATATATATTCACCCAAAAATATGCATTCAAAAAAAAAAAAAAAAAAAAAAAGCCAAGTTAAAAAAAAAAAGTGCTGAACTTGAATTATATTCAAAATATAAAAAAGACCATGCAATCCTACATGCTTCTGCAAAACAAAAAGTCGATTGTCATGATTAATATGGTTTCCAGTTTTAAAATACTTATGGCAGGGATGGCCAGAATGACACGCCAAATGCTTGTTTTACAAACTAAACACCGAGATTTTTGGTTCTTTTTTCAGCTAACAACTTTTAGAAATTTTTAAAGCAGAAATGATGAGGCAGCATAAAAAATGGGGTATAAAAAGAGCACACCGTGCTCAGAGATCCGTGGCTTTGAGGGAAACGCATTCTGCCTCAAACTCCGCCCCTCGTACAGGTTTGTTTGTGGCGACGCCTACACCGTGAAGACGTCATCGCCACCGTGTGCATCTCGCCAGAAACATCCCCCACCAACATCAAGAACTTGGTGGTTCAAAACTTCCCAGATGCATGTCTCAAACATGCACCGGGGGTTTTGCCGTCACTACCATAAAATCTCGCATAAATTCCCTCTCCAGAGAGATTGCCCATCTTGTTTTTCAGGTTAAATATCCATAACATAAAAATTCCAAAACATTGCCCACGCCCCGATTCCCGTCGGACATCAAGCGATGAACCGCGCGATCTGAGGTACCCGTATGTGTGACAAGCGAGTTTGTGGCGGGTTCTCGTTTTTTAACGCGAAAGCATTAACTTTCCCGTGGAGCGAGCTGTTGTCATCAGTTTGAAGCGCGAAAACGGCACCTAGTTTTCCCGATCTTAAAGGAGCGAAGTAAAGCTGAGGGATTTCGCCTTCGGTTCCATTGGCTGGCGCGCATCAACGGGGCTCCAATTGGCCGCTGCGCTCGTCCGTTTCCACGACCGCTCACCCCATGGTGCTGTGTGTCCATCAGTACGCCATTAACACGGAGATTCCAAGGTCAGCGTGCCCAGGGGAGCACGCGTGCTGACCGACAACGAAAAGTATGCAGCAGACAAAAAAGGGAGCGGACAAGCGGCTTGCATGCTCTTGCATTCACAACTCATAAGAAGTGCTTAGGTGTACCTCGAACTTTTTTTGTCACTGATCTGCGCGCGTAATATCGGCTCCCATGACACACGAGTTGTTCCCGCGTGTATATTGGAATCTACTGCGCCTCCAATGTGCTGTATCCGTTCTCGTGACATGAGAGTTTGTAGCGCGCACCCGCGTTTCTGCCCACAATTTGTGCGCGTAGTATAGATTCCCGTGACACGCGAGTTTGTGGCGGGTTCCTACGGTGCCATCATGGAGGCGGGATAATCACGTATTCTTGCTCTTAAATTTCTGCAGGCCCTAACCGTTCCGTGTGCTGCTCACGATGATTAGAACCTCGCTAGTGACGCAGTGATGGAAGTGCCATTTGACCATTTGGAGCAGGCCTTGTAGCAGGCAAAATGTTGTTTTGGAGCAGGTAGTGGCCCTTTTGGAGCAGGGTCCGGCATATGTTGGCATATTACTTGAAAATGAAATAATGCTGCATTGCTATATAAAGCCCATCTCTATTATTGGAATACAGCGCCTGTCGCCTTTTTAAGACAGGATATATAAGATTCAACAAAGTCAACACATTTTTTTAAAAATAAAGCTTATCTGCTTGTTAGATAAAAAATGCAATTAAATATGTCACACTGAGTTCAGATGCTACAGGATACTTAGTTTTATCAGCCTGCACTTCTTTAAGGTATCTGCAGCAGCATCTAACGACCCTCACTGTTATGGAATGTTTTAGTTCAGATTAGAGTTGTCTTTTCGGGCAGCAGCTTCAAATGTTGAGGTATCTGATATTCGCTTCAAAAATTTCGATTCATTTTCGATGTGCTGGCGAAGTCACGATCGGATCACTGCGAGTTAACCCGTTGAGTGCGCTCCTTGGCATGCACCGACGCGCTGCAGAGAAGCGACACCCGCGGAGCAGACACCGCAGTCGCGCGAGTCACGCAGTGCTTTGTGCTCCGAAAAGGACGGTGAGGCTTAACCAGCACTACATCCAGAGTTTGGTGCAACTCAACTATACTTCGTTTCAGCTTCGGTGGGGAGGATCGGTGGCCGAGTGGGCTAGCGCACACCAGCTCGGAGCACGTGGAGCGAAAGCTCGCGCTGCAGAACCCAGGGATCCTGTGTTCAATCCCCACCCCTGCCCGTTTCGATCTGGATGAGCATCGTACCGGCGTGGCGGTCGTGTATCACTACTGTGTGATGCACGTTAAAGACCCCAGGCTAGCGGTTGTACTGCACTGGCTAAATTGCTCATCTACAGCTGGGAGACTCGTCGCCCGTTGAGGCAGACCAAGTTCTAGGCTGTATAAACACACACACAACCCAATTTTTCAGCTTCGGTGCGAGCGTAGCCGAAGCTACAAGCGCGCACATAGAGCCCGTAACGGTGCCCACACTGCACGAGCCCACGCGCGAGTCAGGAATGCACAGAGCATTGGGCTCGCGCTAGCTTTGACTTCGCTGGTAGCTAGCGCACGGGAAGAGGCGGGGCCAGCATTGAAAACATGCACAAGCTCGGCCTTTTCTTTCTTTTTTTTTTAATAGGCTGCTCAGTGGTATTGTTCTTCGCTTAGCTTCTGTGGCTTTGGTCTCAGATGTTGCTCACGTTGTTCCTTTCAATGATAATGATGATAATGCGCCCTCGCAGTTTCGGTTTGCGTAACAGATGCGGCGCGGAAAATACCGCAGTATCGCCACGCACTCTGATAAGACTTCAATTTTTATTTTTTATTGCTACATCTCATCTCGGCGCAGGCATGGCGCAATTCTTCAATAAAATGACAATTTGGCGCTACATGTAGCAGGATTGCGTCCTTGGCGCAATTTTGCGCAATTGGCGCAGCACTTCCATCACTGGTGACGTCTGGGTTACTTCTCTCCCACAAGACAGTCATAAACTTTAACTCCGAAGGATTTCCGGTGTCCTCTTGATTACCAGAACACCGCCACGACCGACCCAACTCACCTCGGCACTGTTGGCGAGGTCGATGTTCACCAGGGCGTAACGGGGGTGACCCTTGTTTGTCCGGAAGGTGAACACCGTCCCCTCGTTAGTCACATAGTCATACTCTGCCTCAAACTTCCCCACGATGCAGTCCAGGTGCAGCTCCCCTGCACAGCCACAGACAGTCGTCGGGTCAGCAGTAGAGGCAGCTCAGACCAGTTTTTGAGATAACCGGGTATCTGCCATCTGATCTATAGCAAATTATTCTAATTTGAAAACCGGATAACCGGATATTTGAATAACCGTAGTCCCATGGAAGAAATGTTTTCGAGCAATGTTTCTACACGCATTAAAGTTTAGGGCAACACATAGGACGACACCGAGAAAGACTTCCTAGACGGTGCCAAGTAAGGCGTCTAGGACGATGTATAGGACGCCGTTGAGGACGACTTCCTAGAGATCGATGCGAAGTATGGCGCCTAGAACGACCTTTAGGACGACGTCAAAGACGGCATCTAAGATAACCTCTTGGACGACCTCAAGGACAACGTCTAGCACAACCTCTAGGACGACGTTGAGAACAACGCCTAGAGGACGACATCTAGGACAACATCAAGAACAACGCCTAGAGGTCAATGTATATAACGATGCCTAGAGGACGACGTTGAGAACGACGCCTAGAGGACGACATCTAGGATGATGTCGAGAACGACGCCTAGAAACGACATCTAGGACAACATTAATAACGATGTCGCGCTGATGACGTCTGATGACATCACGCTGATGACGCTTGATGACTTATGTTTATGGCCATCTTTTGAGCACAATGCCACCGCCGCTTGTTTTTCACGTAATGTGACAAGTGAGGTCGTCCTAGAGGTCTAGGACAGCTTCTAGCATGACCACAAAGACGACGCCAAGGCAATGGGAAAAGTAGGGTTGCCCATTGAGCAGGACGTGCTGCTCAATCATATTTTTATGGGCTTATACAACATTGTTTCACTCAAAGGGGCAAGTAAGGCTTTCACCTTAAAAAAAAGTTGCCGTCTGCCGTACTGGCGTGGCAAAGGCAGTGGTAACATGAAATGTGATGCATTAGTGCGGAGACAGTGTGTACATGTTTCGAGACTGGATGGTGCAAAGCGGCACCATGTCCTTTTTGGGCTATCCGGCAAATGCTCTGTGGACGTCTTATTTACGCCATCTTCTGCGGTTGTGGTGTAAATGCGACTTTCTTGGAGCCCGTTGGAGCGCGAGATGCAGCAGACGGAGCGCGCAGGAAAACGGAACAACTATAGTCTAAGCTCATTATAACAGACCTGGTTAGAACAGATGTTTGGATATAACAAACCGATTTGTGAGGTTCGGTTGGTTTTCCTCTCTGCACCACTGACTCTACTTCATATCTGCCTACAACATACTCCTTGTACAACAGACCAAAATCTTGGTCAGAATCAAGGCCTGTTATAACGAGCTTAGACTGTAGAAAGTGACGGCACTGGCGGCGCCGAGCGGAGCCCCTGCACCGGCCCGTGGCAAAGGAGAATCAAACACTCCGTTGCGGCAAAATGAGCATCTGCTTTCCTTTCCATCGTTCTCTCTCGTGCTTTTTCTCCAAGGAAGCATAGACTGCGCTGGTTTCTTGGAGCGCAGTGCTGTTGTACGTCTGAACATGCTATGTCGTTCCCCCGCCGGGAGTTACACGGGCACACTCAAGAAAGAGGTTCGGCCGACACTGGTGTCCAATTGATGAGGAGACAAGCGCTACGTCGTCGTTCAACAGGCAGTCAGCTTATTGACTTCCGCTGCTGGCGCCTAACCGGATATGGTTAGGTGGCAGCCATATAACACATTCTGCGTTAAAAAGGGGGAGGACGAGAGAGATGAGCGAGCAAATGTGGAAAGGCAAAAGGTATGTAGGTTATTTGAAACCAGAAACTGCCCATGCTCCTGCCTCTTGAATCAACAAAGTCTTCAAAAAAATGCCAACACTTTTTTTTTTTTTTTTTGAAGGGGTTTGAAAAAGGAGCCCTTGCAAAAGGCTAACAAGCCAGATGAAGCACTGGTCTCTTACAGTTCAGATGAGTATAAAATTGGTGAAAGCAAAACACATTCAACTGAAAGTCACAAGCACAAACATAGCGACTGGCATCTTCACGATACCATGGTGATATCCAATACGAGAATTAGGTATCTAACAACCGATCACAAGGACTGCGACCGTTCGTAGCGTTACGTGGCAGCCCTCACTGTTTCCGAGATGTTTTGACACATGCATCATACAGTGCGCTACACACGTACGTCAGGAATGCATTCCAGTCATCCTAGCCTAGTTGCAGACAAGGAAGGACAGGCTCCTACCTTCGATGCCGTTGGGCAACTTCTCGAGGTTGGCGACGTACACCATGTTGTCCTTGCAGCCTTCCTGGGCCGTTACCACCAGGTACTTGCCGCAGTCACTCACCGTGCCGCCGCTGGCCAGTCGGAAGCAGACGAGGAAAAAACGAAGGTTAGGAACGGCCGCATTCTGTAACCCCCCCCTCCCCCAATCCGCGTCTTCCCGCCAGTGTTGCCAATTTAGAAGTTTTACCTGGTTTTCTAAATTTCTACTGCAGGATTTTTAAAATTTTTTTATTGGTAATCTTGTTTTTCATAGCAAAAGATATTTGTCTATACTCTTCTAGCAGTTTTTTGTGGCCTTTGTTTTCAGCGGGCTCTTGAAATTTCTATCGGAGGTTTTCCTTAATTTTTGAGTTGGCAACGCCGCTTCCAACAGGTTAAATATTTGTTTGCACTAATTGAGTAAATTAGGAGTTTTTAGCGAGTTATCGGGATTTCTATTGCGGTTTTTAATTTTTTTTAATTGGTAACACCACCTCCCCAGGGAGGAAATATTTGTCTGTGCTTACGGTAGCGGTTTTCTTTGGGTTTTTTAGTTTATGAGTTGGTAACCCTGCTCTCCACAAAAAAATATATTTGCCTGTACTTGTATCAGTTTTTAGTGGAATTTGTTTTCAGCAGGTTCTCAAGATTTCTATCGTTTTTTATTTTTTATTTTTTGAGTTGGCAACACTGTTTTCCAAAGATTAAATATTTGTTTGTGCTTGTTGCATAAGTGAGAGTTTTTTGGAGGGTTATCGAGATTTCTATACTGGTTCTTTTAATTTTTTAAATTGGCAGCACCGCTTCCCCAAAGACAAAATATTTGTCTGTGCGTGTTGCAGCAGTTTTTAGCTATTGCGGGTTTTTCCGATTTCGAAGCTGGCAACACTGCTTCCCGCGTGCCAGGGAGCCTCACATGCGCCACTTGGGCTCCTTGGGAAACTCGACGCAGAGGACGTCGTCTGACTGCGGGGTGCCCACGCGGTGGTAGTAGAGCTTTTGGTCCTTGGCGCTGTCCGTCTCGGTGCCGTCCGCCTTGGCGATACTGTCCGGGTATTTCTGCGAGACAACAAGAGGCGGTGCTCCAAAATCGCCCAACAACTTATTCCCAAAGAACAAAGTTCGCACATTTGCGACGGCTCGCGATCAAGTGCCTTCAAACCTCTTCAGATCCCTTGCGACGAGACACCGGCGCCACCTGTCGGGTAGCCGGGGAACACTTTCTTGGTCCCGTATATTCACCATTTTCTTCACCCATTGTTCTTTCCCTCTCGGCTCGAAAAACTTCTGACAATGTTATGGACGACCGTTTCGACTCCCAAAAATACCGTAGAACCTTTGCCCTAGTGATATGAAGTCCCAGGCCCACCTCATAGATGGCGCCAGCATGTTCTTTCGTCGTAAGAAATCACAAGAGCCCGGTCGTGAGCAGACAGAAGTGAGCGGTTGGGCTTAAACGGCTGACACCGAACAAAATGTAAAGAACACAAACGAGCCTGTGAGGGTTAGTCCCAATGTGTGGGCTCCCAAACCGGGTCCCTAGAAATGGGGGCTGTTTGCTAGTGATGCGGGTGTTCCATTCGACGGGAGCGAAAAATATTGAGGCCATGCGGACACCTCCTTAGGGGGAAAAATACATAACGTTTCAGACAATTCCCCTCAGCAGATGTACGCCTTGCCTATCGTTTTCTTTTGTTTTTGCTTGACAAAACCTTGCCCAGGAATTATTCTATGAGACATACACAGGATGTCTAGCAAACTATTATTTTTAAATTCCCTGACTTTTCCAGGTTTTCCCTGACAATTTCAGGTGATATTCCCTGACCACTATAGAGGCAGCTAAATATATAAGACCATTATAACATAAGACATTGAGCATTGAGCACTACGAGGATCATTTTGCACGGGCTTAATCCAACTTGCATATTCCGAAATATTCGGACTCGTCCAGTCCGTATTAAACGAGCACTTTCCTGCCGCCGACATCGTCAGTTAAGAGGCCACTTGCGGAAACACAATGAAAACACGAAGCTCAACCGCACACATCAATAACAGAATGGCAGCATAGCTGCCAGATGCACACTTTTGGAATCTTTCGCTTAAAGGGGTACTCCGCCGATTTTTGAGCTACCTCAACTAACTATATTTTCTGACTCCCCGGCCTTTGCCCTTTCTGGTATGCTATTTAGTATCGTGAAATTCATAATAGTTATTGCGAAATCGGCAAATGAAAATGATGCAAAAACAAACATTCAAATATACCCGCCCTTTTCAGGGCCGTGATGTCACTGGAAGTTTAGCTTGCCAGTCGGGCGAGCAGTCTAAAAAATAGAATATGCTAATCATTTGTTCCGTGCTGGAGCGCGGGGACTGGAGCGAGCTTCCAAAGCATTCATTTGACACCATGAAACTGCTTCCAACCAGTTGGGAACAAATTCTACAGTCCAAAGAGTGAACCCCTGCACTTCCAATGACGTCACTTTTTCATTGTTGCCAGTAGAGACTTTCAGTTTGAAAAACACGGTGAGGACTAAAATTGTAAATTCAATAACTTCGTGAAAAAAAATTATTTTGAGCTAATATTTGGGATACTATTTTGGCGATGTTGTTTGGCGAGTTTAGCAAAATTTCAAGCAAATCGGGGACCATGAAGAAATCGGCGGAGTACCCCTTTAAGGCTTGGATTGGATTGGGGTGTGTGGTTTTCCCATTTGTTACTAAATCTAGTAGCTCTAACTGGATCCAGCCTAGTGTCGTGCCCTCTATCCAATCCAATCCAATCCAAGGCTTGGACTGGATATGTCTGCTGTTCCCTTTGCATCAGGCAGCACACTATACGTCGGATGAGCAGAGCTTGCGCTTCGCTCTAAGCAGAATTAATTGCCAATTGTTCTGTCCCCAAGTCCCCAAGTTTTTGCTCAGTGCACTCGATGGCGTTTCCGGCTCATTTTCCCTGACTGGGCTCGCTTTTTAACAATATCCCTGATTTTTCCCAGTAATTAAAATTTCCCTGACAATTCCCGGTTTTCCCAGTCGCTAGACACTCTGCATACAATTCAAGCCCAATGACCCTCTTTCTGCGCTCAAGACTGGACTCGAATATTCAAAGCGAAGACAAACTTACAGCAGCCATCTGCCTGGAACGCTGCTCGTCCTCATTAATCCTGCGCTACGCTGTCAAAGCTGCGTGCGCGAGCACGTCGCTTCGTTTCTCCTCTCTTTCGCACGAGAGGGCATGCAAGTGAAATGCAAGACAAAGCCACATGCTCTCGCAACAGTGCGGAGCTGCAACACTTTCGAAGCTACGCTAGCCTTGACAATGTATCCAAAAAATATTTTATGTGAAGTTTTTTCGTTTTTTTTATACTAGATACTTTTTACCCACAAAGTCAATACCGTCACCAGAAAAGCCCTCTTGCGGGGGATTTTAGCTGCCGGAAGAGACACCCGCATCACTAGCAAACCGCCGCACGGGTACCCTAGAGGCGGGTTCCTCAAGCTCTCGGATCTCCCCGACCATCCCCGTCCCCCGTTCGCAACGTACCTCAGGTAGGATGCAATGATTGGTGTATCTGTGCTCTGCCGGAATATAAGTGCAAGGGCCTTGTTTGTAAGTGGTGCGTCTATTACTCGTGTGAATACGGCAAAAAGTGAACCAAGATGGAGACCCACCCCATAAAAGAAGCCCTTATTGTCATGGGTCCAGGACATGCTGGTGAACTTGATCTTCTCCAGGACTTCGGGGAAGATCTCTCCCGTCGCCACGTTTTTCACCTGAAACGTTTCGGGGGATCACTGCTGTTGCATTGGACGCAGATGAAACAAATCGACACTTCCACCTACAACGGAAGGTAGGGTATTTCTTCGGAAATATCCCGACGAGCGTTTTCTTGTCAAAGGCGCTAGCAGAAACCACAATACAAACAAAATACAAAATGCTCGCTTCTTTCTTTTCTTCGTCTACTGCCGGGCGATTCGACAACAAATGTTCGACCCTGATGACACAGTCGTGGACCAAATATAGCTTCTGCATCTACTAGGCCTTTCTGGTTAGTGACTGTGGCAGCTGAAGCTGCCGCACACGCTAGCTCTAGTGTATCCATTTAAAAAATAGGGGCGTGTCCTCACATAGATTTTGATCCAATCGGAGCCGCTGTAGCTGAGGCCATAGGCGAACAGCTCGCCATCTTCGGAGAAGCTTGTCGTGCTCATGGACACCGTGCCGTCTTCGGACAGCTCGTTGGGGTCGAAGAAGACCCTGGGATCCGCGTCCAGCGAGTCCTGGACGTATAGCACGCTGCGGGAGGAGGAGGGAGAGGCGCGGTGAACCCCCAGGTGCCGCCATCTTCGAAACAAAACCTGGCGCCTCTTTGCCAAGAGACGACACACAGATTTCTTCGCGGGGCAACTTAGAATGCTCGACGTTCAAGTTTGCGTGCTTTTAAGATGTTTTTTACACAGAACATGTTTAAGACCATAGGCGTAGGCTACAAGGGGGCATCGGGGCTCGTGCCCCCCCCTGGTGAGATCCGGGGAAGCACAGCCCCCCCCCCCCCCTCCCGGGCCCGGGCCATGATCCTTATCGAGACGCTGTTTACGTGCAATGTAACGAGCTCCTAGTAGAGGCATGTAAACAAAATAATGCCCAGATTGACAAAATACATAGGAAATGAAATCCCAGAGTGCTTTCGTTAGCTTCAATCTCCAGTTTGGCAATAAGGTAACGTGCCGCCGCCGCCGCCGCCGCCCCCCCCCCCCCGGAAAATGGAAAGTCTACGCCGCTGTTTAAGACTAGGCTTTTATAAAAAGAATGCCTATGAAAAGCGTGCTGCAAAAGTGCAATGTGCAATTTCCCTTCTAAATTTACCAAGAAAACCCAAATTGGTACATAATAACACACCCCTTTCCCTGCTATATTTAGTGAGAAAACCTAGAAATTGCTGTATAAATATACAAAATTTCCCCACTAAATTCAGTGAGAAAACCTGAACTGATGAATAATGATACACCAATTTTCCCACTAAATTTAGAGCAAAAAGTTGAAAATCAGTGTGCTATTATACGCCAATTTCTCCACTAAATTTAGCGGGGAAACTCCGCTAAATTTAGGGAGACACAAGTCCGCTAAATTCAGCAGATTCTAGCGCGTCCCCTGAGCTCAAAAGAGCTCGTAAATAAACACTCAGTGCAGTTCAATACATATATGCTGCAGATTCCGTGTCTAATAACTACCATAAAATTCCGCTGAAGCGCCCACTTCATTCAGGCACCCACTATTAACATGTCTCAACCTTGGGAATTCTGCAAATTATATATTAAGCGCCCGATTTGACCAGACAAGTGCCCATGTCCAGATTAATCCAGTTTTCAGTGAAAGTGTGATGGGTGCTCTCCCAGTACTTTATGGTAGGTATATCTATTGGATTAAGACACATTCTTAATCTTGAAGAGAAAAAAGAATTTAATTTTAATATTTTGTTTTTCTCCCAGAAAAGCGCCTGGTTTTATTCCAGTGTATTTCAATTTTCCAGTATAGAAACCGGTGAGTCTCAGAAAATCTGCCCAAATAACGTCGAATCACAAAATAAATTTGACAGTATGGTCGGACCCTTTTGTGCCTCTCCTAGTTAAGCACTTAATGAAGGCAATTTCATGGTCCTTGCCGATTTTAGAGCCTATTGTTTTTGCCGGTAGTAACCTGCTTTCCGCTACCCAGAGAAACCTAGAAAAGTTATATTGTTAGTTGCGAGTAAACGCTCCATGCTCTTTTGTGAGAATTTGCTTTCATGTGCGCTAGACTTTTGTTTTTGTCCCCGACGTTAGGATCTCTTGTCAGATATTTCATTTGTTTTTCCGCCCCGGGATCTGCGTCGCTAAGTGACGGGAGGCAGGAGCCTGATGTTACTGCCTCGTAAAGTCGTTCATTTATTATTATTATTATTACTTATCAATTTAATTTTGGCTGCCTCTTTGGCTTATAGCCATATGTCCCCATCACGAAATCGCGCATAGGGCGTCCCAAATTTTTTTTTACGGGGTTTCCTTTACCACAAAAATGAACTATGCATTGTCAGACGCTGCGCTACATTTGAGCAGAGGCTTACTGTTTGACAAAACATTGCTTATATAACAAATAAAAAAAAAAAAAGCCCCGTAAATTTTTTGCAGGGCACGCTGCACACCTGACAGGTATTTAAGGATGTTTTACGCTTACCTTTGATTCTGAAGCCCAGTGTTCATGTAGAAAAAATACCGGCTTCCGTGCTTGTTCGGGCATCCGAACCGAGGGTAGTCGTATAGTTCTCTCAGCCTGAAAAAAGAGGACTCGCATAAGATGTCCGTACACGTCACCCAGACTTCAGAAATTGAAACGTCTCGCATATATGTGGGGAGAAGGTCAAGCCAAACTGCAGGGCAACTTCTGACGTTATTCTAGCTGTTGGGGAGCGAATGACGCTGCACGCGCTGCGGTTCACGCGGCTGACCGAAGTTGTTTTGTTTTCTTCTTTTACTTTAAACCGCCGATCTATCAAGATCGGCCGCGCCGAAAAATAAGGCAAAACGACGACGACGAATAAACGCTCAGCCTTGTGACAATCAGCTAGGCTGACATGACTCCTTCATTTTGACTTTCGAATTTACTTTATTGGCGACGAGGCTGAACCCAATGTCTGAAACCGGTCAACCCACCTCGACCAAGCACACCATGGCCTTCTCTGTTCCCCAGTTCAACGAGGCATCAGATAAGTGGACCACCTATTTGACACGCTTGGAAGCGTTCTTCGAGGGGAATGCAGTGACCGATGCGGCGCGGTGGCTTTCATGCGAGAGAGCAAGTACAGTCTTTCGAGCCCTCTGCAGTATTACGTCTTGTGACAACCGGCTAGGCTGACATGACTCCTTCATTTTGACTTCCGAATTTACTTCACCAGCAAATAGGGTGAAGGCCTCTCGAGTCACTCTGTTTATGCAACAATCCGCGACAGACTTGGGTTTAGAAAAGTTTGTGCGAGATCAGTATCGAAAAGTTAATGCGGATTATTTTTTAACATTCTCCGTGTTTAAGACCCAGCCACTACCACTGTTCTATTCAAGGAGTGCAGACTTTCAATCCCTTGAATGATGTGCATTTGACTGAGCAACGAAGCTGTAAGAACACAAGATTCTCGTTTTATTAATGAATTTCAACGACTAGAAATAAAATAGGAGCACACCACTAGTGTCTGGTTACAGCGAAACTGCTGCCACACACGAGACGCCAGGCATTCTCTTCTTCCCCAAGTAAAAAAAACACCGAACACTTCTATCTTGTTGACTGTCGTAATCTAAGCTTGCCCCAAGCTGTACAATCAAAAAACACTCCAAACATATACGCCTCTCTTCAAATAAAACGCCTGGTTCAATACGATACCCTGCCCTCGTCTAAGATAGCGTGCTCGTACGCGGAAGTTGTCTAGACTTCACGCGGCACCCATCAAGATTCATAACATACACAAAGTACTGTGCAAGGACAGCGTCGATTCCTTATGAGTGAGACTCTGTGTTTTCAGAGTTCATTTCTCAAGAAATCTGGAGGTGTTTTTCGGAGTTTATTTTTCGCTGAAAATTTGGGGTTTAATGCAGTTTATTTTTGTTAGATTCCCATTCAGAGTTCAGAGTTCAATTTACTGTGTTCCCAATTTTATCTAAATTCAAAGACAATATAAATAACCCCCAGGTACCATGACCCGTTGTCCTGAAGGAACCTTAGCTAAAAGGCAAACCCCTTCTGTCAGTAGTTTGAGATTTCAAAGGAAACGGAAGTGGCCTCTCCTCAGGACCACTGACCCCATGTACTTATAAACTTCATTTGTGAAACACAGTGTTTCCTTGCTTTTTATTTTGTCATTGTTACCTCTAAATTCCGAGTTTTTCAGGTAAATTTGAAGTGTTGAAACATTTCTCGGCGGTGTTTTTCAGATCAACCGAAAACACGGAACCCTACACATAAGAACCGTACACTTCATGATGTACTCGTTACTGGTTACTGGTTGCTAAAGGCCAATTCAGATACGCATCGCAGCAGTAAAAATGCACATTAGCACTGATGTAGCTGTGTATCGGCATTGTATGAATAATATAGCAGAAAGTCGGCAGCAGCATCAACAAGGTCAGTCTAATTCCAGCGCCGAGCGAGTGCCGTGGTGTTTGTGGGAACAGGCCTCAAGCCAGACACACACTTTGCCCTTTCCACATCTGCTTGCACTTTCCTTTCCCCCTTCATTCCTCCTCTCTCAAAAATTGACACCACAAGCTGAGAGCACTCACTCACTCACTCACTCATTTATTTTACGTGCTCATGAACAGCTAATGCCTCAATAATGATGCTTAAAGGGAATCTCCATCGATTTCTTTAGTTACCTTATCCAAGGGCACCATCTGAATGCTAGTGGCTTCCCGATTCCAAAATGCTATTTCGTTTCCCCAGATTCACTTCGGTTAATTAAAAAAGTCAGAATTAGTTTGATACCGAAATCGCGGTGGTTATCGGTTTCCCTAGTTCTTCCCTATTTTTCCCCACCACCAAACATGACGTCACCAGCGGGAAGCAGGCCTGGTACGCTTAACAGTGAGCTGTTTTTAACTATCTGCTTGCACAAAATGTGAGCTTGGCCTACGTGCTAAACTATGATAAGAAATACTAAAAATATTGGAATTTTTTTAGGACACAGCCTTTGCAACTCGGTTCGCTTGATTCGAAACTCAATGGTTTCGTCAAATCGCTAGCTTAAATTCGTTCTCCTTTATCGCAGTATCTCACAAGAGACCTTTGGTCAATTACCCAAGCACCAAGGACAACATTCAGGATCCTTCTAAAATGTTTATAAAATAAAAATAAAATGTTCATTGAAGTCATTGAAAACAACAGACGTGACAGCGGGGCAAATGTCGACTGGCCAGGAAGCTACACCGAGTGACCTGGGCACTACATTCTAGCCCTGGATGTCAATGCATCGGGGGTGGCAGCCATCTACTTTGACTGGGCCACTACCTGGAGCCGCTGCCTCAACGAAGCGAGCGAGCGCACCATCAACCGCCAGGGCTTTACCATTTAGAACGTCCATTGAACAGCCCACCAAAGGTCACCTTGGCTCGCTTGCTTACTGGCCTGAACCGCCGCCGAACCTCCAAGACTCGTGCGACGGATCAGAAGAGTGTGTCGTCCTGAACACCATCAAACCGCCAAGGCTTTCCCAGCCGCACGGTGAAGCCTCCGGACAGACCCCTTCGCCCCGGCACTTCTTACATCTGGTAGAAGTGTCTTGGCAAACCCCGAACCTTCAAGCAATGGCGCTTGCGATGTTGAGAAGACCGCGTCGTCCCCTCCTTGTATATATCATCTCATAATCATCATCACTAGACGTTGCACCGCGGGCCTCCATGATACGGGCTGTCGCCTTTCCACGGTGCCACGGCTCTCCCGAGCCAATAAAGATTACGATTACGATTAGTGCTAGAGTATGCAGCATCTTCAGCGATTTTATTAGCGCTTCTTTCGGGACGGAGGTCGTCGTCAAGGGACAAGTTGAGTCTGCGATGGCCCCTTTTGACACTGTTCCAATTGCAGAGGGATACTCAACTCTTAGCTCGCCGCTGTAAAGTATTCCGAGCACAGGCGAGAATGTTTCACATGACACAAGTTCCGCTGGTTCTTTTGGCACATGGCTCGCGCAAAGGCAGCTTGACGTGGATCGCCTCCATCGCTGCCGGCGAGCGCCTTCTATTTTTCGCGAAAACAAGGACAAAAAAGCGAGGAGTTTCCTGGCACTGTTTGTTAAATCTACCGTGGAGCGCAAAATGCTGTCCATTGCAGAGGAACTTTCAACCTTGAAGCTGCAAAAAATAATCCCTATCGCTGGCGACCCATAAAGCCGCTTCACGGCTTCCCAGGCCGCCAGTCCGCTGCCCCGCTGCTAATGTACGCGGGTAAAAAAAAGTAGAAATTTTTCAATGTTACTGGTGCAGAATCGCCTCCTGCATCTTACAAGGCCAACATAACTGGAAAATTCAATAACTGCACAAACATTTTTGTAAAATATTTTGGCTAGTATTTGAGAAAGGGTTATGGGCTGGATCTGCCAATTTCCAGCCACGTTGCAGATTAACGAAAAAAAACGGCGGAGCTCCCTTTTCATGATGAGCGTGCAAAGCCTTGCCCTCCTTGTGCAAGGTACATGCTAAGTTAAGATATTGTTTGAGTTTAGCTTCTTTCGTCACTATCCAAATGACCGTCGAGGCATTGACTGCCACGAGCCCAGATCGAGAGCTTGTGCGCCACTTGCATCCAGTCTATGAACATCACTCCAACCCTAGGTAGGATAAACCCTGCGACTATGTCGACAGTGGGCTCATTCGATTTATGTGCATCTCCATGCACCAGTGCAGTCGATGCACACCGCCATATTCGGTTTATACCTCAAAACACAACAGGATGTACATTGCCCAGCACTTTTCTACGCTGTGCTACGCTTTTCTTCACCGGTTTAGGCAAGATTAAAGGTAAATCAAATTAGCCTATTGTGATCGCGATAACATGAGCAAGCTTTTGTGGAGGAAAGTACAGAAAATGGTCCACTTCCATAACAATTCACCAAGCTTCTGCATAGCTAGACTGTAGACTTTCCGGGTTTAGCCAAGAAACACCGATAAACATCCATCGGCGTCAAAAATATGAAGCTGGTTTAAACTGAAAAGCACCGATAAGCATCCTTTTCTGTCAAATACAAAATCAGTTAAAACTGGAAAACACCGATTTCTGGGAATCTTTTTTACCCGCTTGGACTGTTTTTGTTGAAAACCCGAAAACTTCTGACACCTTAGATTTGAATTCTTAGTTTTTATTTAGATATTTTTACCGAAAAACACTAATACCTGAAGAAAAAAAAAAAAAAAGTAAAATAAAACTCAAAAAAACATCAGTTGACCTTCCTTACAAATAAAGACCGGAAAATCTACAGCCGATTTATTCTCTCTCGTATCCGAGATCCCTATCCCTCCGGTGTTGATCGTTCTTACCAAGTCACCATCATATTTAAAAAGATTCTCTCTTTCTATTCTCAAAATTACTATGTACAAGCTGTTTCTGTTTTCTGTATCTCTGTTGTTTGTACAAATCCTCGCTCATGTAATACATCTATCTGCAAGGCTATCCTAGAACTAAATAAATGAAATAGAAAAAAAATAATGAAGCAACTTGCTCGCGCAGCTGTGAATGGCTGCAGCACTATGAAAGCTACATTAGCCTTGACAATGTAGCACAAAAGAGTTAACACCAAGTGTAATAGTGGTGTCAAAACTAGTATCGCCTAGCCCATTGCTGAAATAGCATGGACCACGAAGACTTCCGAAGTGGACCATGTTTCGGCGTGGCCATCTTTCGGGATGTTATGGTCAGCTGCCATACACGCTGGATTATATTCTGCGGACCATACGTGTTGAAAAGTAAACATTTTATGCGGCATGGACTGGTTACGGGCATAGACCGTATAAAAGATACACTGTTTGAAGATCATTCATTATGACAAGATATCATGAACGTTATGAAGCATAGGCTATAGCTAATTATGATTTCAGTATGATACAAGCACAGCTTTTTAAGCTAATAAAGCGTGTATTTTTAAAGATGTGGTGCGCATACACTGTGGACCACGTATCGAGTCGACATCTGAGCATCGGCCCCTGGGTTCCACCACCTATTGGGTAATTCGCTTTCTACTAGTTACAAGTTTACTTTTTTTTTGTTTTGTACTGTTTTTGTACTGGTGCATCTCGAGTGAATCAAGGTTTCTTACTTATAGTGTTCTCATGAAGACATGCCAATCAAAAGGTTATTGTGGTTGTTTTTGCACTTTAAATAAAGATTATTATAGTTAATATTAACCGTTGTTATTTAAAAATTTCTCTTTAATTTTTTGGATAAAATTTGTTTTTGCAGACTATACGCCAGGTCAGGACTATAATCTAGAAAATACGGTGCTCATTTCCGTCCGAGGTGGCCCACTCCCCGGGAGTTGGGCAGAAAACAACGGTCACGGACCTTTCCTTTATCTTTGGCCTATCCTTGCATTTCTCGAGGAACGGCGTTGTCACTGCATTTTGGGCATCCACAAATTCCTTGGTTTCCTCGCTGTCCGGGTCTTCCATCCACCTGTAAGGGTCTCGGACCTAGAAAAGCAAAACGCGACAAAGAAACCAATCGTCCCACTCAGATTAAGTTCTTTAGCAATGTAGGACAGCCGTAAGGCTGGTTCACGCATACATCGCGGCACCAGATCAACGCAGGGAACAGCACCGATGCTGCACTCGCTCGAACGTAACTCAGCACTGATGCAACGCCATACAAGCGCTGCATCCTTAACACAGCGTAAAGTTGGCGCCCCACAAGCAAGGTCGGCGTTATTTATGGCGCTGAAAAGGCCTCCGATTCGAAAGACTGTCTCACACATCCACATTTGAGCGCGACTGAGCGCACTGCATCTGCTTGCAACTGCTTACAACGAGAGCGCACAGCGGTACTTTACCGCTGTCTGTCGGGCATCCCCGGAACACTTTGGATCCGTGTATAACTCCACTCCATTTCACCTTACGACCAGGCACAGTTTGGCTCTGCTAACAAGGCACCGAACTACGCTTTTGGTGCGTCACTGCAGCCCCTTCTCAAAGGTCATGCGACGCTCAAGCGGCACTAGGTCGGCTCTGACGGCTCGCAGCGTCCACGGCGGTCGGTGGTAGGGTGGAACAAAGTAGAGACAGAAGGTTTTCCTGCCTTTGCGAGATCAAACCTATGCAGTGCACCATCTGCGAGAAACGGTCGCTCAAAAACATCGTCGAAATTATTTCAAGCCCGCAGCGAAAGAATTGTGCGTGAGACATTAGGAAATATATGCCAGGACTACCCAGTAAATGGCACCAGCATGATCCAGTCATAGAGAGAGAGAGAGAGAGAGAACGTCTCTACTGCACCAAGTCCATTGCTTCCAGTAAATTTTGTTCATTTATAAACGGCAACAAGTAATGCTGTCGGTCACGAACATAAGCAAACGTGTGAACACGGCTTAATACCACGCCAACTCGTTGGACTAGAAACCATTTGAGGACGGGCACATCTGCAGTTCGCAACTGCAAAATGACATTGTACTAAACGGTAGGGCCCATCCCTTATATTGCTTTTCCAAAGTAGACACAGCAGCAATGATCTATAGTTATTTCGTATTCTTATTATTGATAAAAATAACCTCAGTTCAGGGGAAGACAAAAGAGCTTCACGCCTAACTAACCCTTGAAACTTAAAAAAAAAAAAAAAAATGACGCTGCTTTTATGTTGTCAAGTTCAATTTACCGTAAGATACCGGGCAAGCGCCCACTCAAAATTTTGAGATAATCATGAAAAAATGGGGGATGGGCGCTTGTCCGGTCATCAGTTCTACATATAAATATACTGTGCATATTTTCTCAGATCTTACAAATTTGGGAATGGGCGCTTAATGTGGTATGGGCGGATGCACGGTATTCTACGGTATGTAGAAATTTACGAGCTCAGTGAAAAAACTAAATGATGCAGCTTAATAAACTGAACCGGCGACTCTGTGTTTGTGCAACACAAGGCTTGTGGATCCGACTCTTTATGCCATCTATTTCGATCGAGCACAGAGCACACACTGGACCCGCGTGCTGCATCAGCATTTGGCCAGGGCGTGCATCAATCAGTCTTGACACGAGTTCCAGCCAAACGGCAAAATCAGCATTCAACTGCGTCAGCCGAACGCCGCGACAAAAACAAACGAGTACTTTATGATGTTCGTACCCCACACAGCTGAAGCAAACCACTAGAAGTGTGATCGTTTATCTCCTGCTCAATAATAGATCCCCCTCTGCTTTTTCACAACAAGAAATGGTGCAACCAGTCCAGACACCAGCTGCAAAAGGAAGGCGGCCTGTCCGGGATTTCATCCGTGCTTGAACTTCGAGCAGAGACAACAAAAGCTACACTCTCTTTTTCTTATGTAAAGAGTTACCAACTGACAGTTGTGCAAGAATCCACACTCCAACACTGCAATAAATACTGCAATAGATTACAACATTAATTTTTTTTTTTCTTCTCTCAATTGCTCAGCCCCCTAATGCTAAAAACATCCGTTGAAAAAAAAAAAATTGTTTCTTTATTGCAAATGCAGAAATTTGAGAATGGCAACCACCTACCACGTCTCATTTTAATTCTATAACAGAGTCCGAAGCTCTTTTTTTTTTTTTTAGAAAACAGAGTTTACAAGAAATGTCCAGCAGAAGAGGGGTGTTAGTCATTTTTCATGGGACAACGTAAAGGCAGCACGAAATGCACCCCCCCCCCTCCTTTTTTGATATCTGTGTATTGACTGCCAGCTGCAGAAACGCAGTAATTAAGTGGCGCACACCAAACACTGTGTCGACATATTCTTGAAAACTTGGCGACATCACGTCGTAGCTTACCAACTATATACTTTGTTTCACCGCAACTTGGCAATGGACTAATAGTAAGACCCCCCTTTGAGCCAATCAGAGCAAACGAGGCTAAGCTCGTGACAGCCTTTACCAAGGGTACAGGGGCACAAGCACGAACCAAGCAGTTAGAGAAGGGGGAACTTCACTCTCACCTGGACCCTCTTTTGTGTGTCTGCCCCGGAGATTAACCCATCACTCGATGTTTGTAAGAAAGTGGCTTACCTCCATCTCCCGCCCGTGGCTTCGACAGAACTGCACGCAACTGGTGAGATCGCCATGTGTCTCCCTCCAATGCGCTCATTGGCTCACTGGGACCGTAGCCTTTGTTGTTTGCCAAGTTAAGGTGAGACGGAGTGTAGTATGCTTTGCTTTTAACCGACACAGTCTTTGAAAGGAGGAAGCGATTGTGCAATGGCCGTAAACTCAACGATAAAGGGTTTTGGACCTTCCCATGGCAAGCACAGAAAGTGTAAATGCTTGGCGAGTTGTAATCGTTGCAAATGCTAGACTGTTTCTTTTTTTTCTCTTAAAGCGCAGCTCTTAGGTGCTCATTCCTGGGTTTCGCGGCGTCGCCGTCGGCGTGTCAGCTTCGCTAAACTTAGCAGGAAATAAAACTGGTGTTGAGGTTATGTGTTGTCAATTTCACCGCTAAATTTAGCGGGGAAAATGATGTCACATGACTTTGTGTCACGTCGCCCATGAACAAATTCAATTTCTCCGCTACATCTAGCAGAAAAATTGACGCCACGTGACCTCAGAAAAAATTCAGTTTCCCCGCTAAATTTAGCGGGGAAAACGATGTCACATGGCTTCGTGTCATGTCACCCATGAACATATTCAGTTTCTCTGCTAGATTTAGCGGGAAAACTGACGTCACATGACTCTTTGCCCAGTCACCCATGAACAAATTATTTGAGCTTGCTCGAAAAACTTCTCAAATCTTTCACATATCCAAACTCTGGAGAAGTCAGATGAATTGCCCTACCGACACTGTTATCATAGTGATCGATATTATATTTAGTTTAGTAAAAATATTGATAGACCTCCTGCAAAATTGAAATGATCCTAGTGGCATAATGCAGTGCAAAGTATCATGGGAACCCATTGTCCACTTTTTCGGCTTCAATTGGCCACCCTTACTATGCCAAAGGAAAAATATTTATCAACCAATCCCTAAGCGTGAAGGGGCCCTACGTTTCGGAAGTTGGAAGCTATGTATATGCTATGATTATACTCCAAGTTTCTGCCGGGGGTTAGTCTCAATTGCGAGGATCGATGTTTTTCCAAAGTCAATACGGCGATCTTTGACATCGCAGTGCTCAGCAACAACACTGAGATCTTGGTTGAATTTGCGTTTTTGTGCCGGCCGATTCTTTCAAAGAAATCTTTTGTTTTGTTGATGTAGGTGGCGGGGGAATCTGTGCAGAGAATCTTGCAGACGACGCCCTGTGCTCTTTCTTTGGGAAAGTTATCTTTTGGCTGTGGCATATGGCGTCCAAGTGTGGAAACAGGCTCCATCTTTATTCTTTCTTTTGCCAGAATCCGTGCCAGTGCTTCGCTAGTACCTTGTATGTAGGGGACAGCGATGCGTCTGGTAGTGCAGGACTCTGAGCTTTCTTGTGGTCGTAGAAGTTGATGAGCATGGCCTGGGCAGTGCGTGAAGCGGTTAATAGAACTGTTGGTATAGCCATTTTCTTACGATTGGCAATGATGGTTTGCTCGTCTGTTCATTCGTCAGCGTCGGATTAGCGAATAGCCTTCGCTCTCGAAACGAGTGTCTGACCCAACGCCTTACGACGTGTCAGGTGGTAAGAGTCAAAACAAGGATAGCGTCCAGCATGAGTTGGCTTCCTGAATACCGTAAATGTCAGATCGTCTCTCTGCCTTTTCACCAGTACATCGAGAAACAATAGGGTGCACGATAAATTGGATGGCGGGCTCGATAGAGTTGAGGTGCATCAGGAACTGGTTCACTTCTTTTCTCTAGAATGCAGAAGCAGTTGTCCACGTACCGTAAGAATCATTTAAGGCTTGTGTGAAAAGACTGCAGTGGCTTTTGTTCTATGAATTCCATCGTCAGGTTTGCTGTGGTGACGGAGATGGATGCACCCATCACGGTTCCACTGGTCTCTTTGAAGAACTGGCCTTTGAATTGAAATACTACATGCTGCTAAGGCAGAACTCAAGGAGGCAGCATAGTTTGTCTATGTTGAGGCTGGTTCTGTCACTCAAGTCTCGTTCTCTCTCTGGAGGGCATCTTTCGTCGTTGCGACCGCCAGGGGAACTGGCACACTTGTTAAGAGTAATATAACATCAAACAATGCCATGGTGTCTGAGGCACACACTTTAGTTGTGGATGTAGAGTTGTGCACATGGCCCACATTTTTCCAACTAGAGGAGACAAGGTGCGGTGAAGGTAGTTTGGCAGCGCTCGGAGAGGCGAAGCCATGAAGTCCACGATGGGTCGGAGAGGAACGTTAGGTTTATGGATCTTTGGAAGTCTATAGAAACCAGGTGCAAAGCCTTTCTACATGTAAGTCGTAGACAGAGACTCCTTGGATCTGGATGACTTTGGAAGATTTCGGCCAGGAGTTTGTTCATCTTTGCTTGAACGTGTGTTGTCATGTCCTTTTTGAGCTTTTCATAAGTAAAGCTGTCAAGAAGACCCTAGACTTCATGTTCGTAGGCTTCCCGATCGAAGACGATGGTCAAGTTGCCCTTATCCACTTGCAGGAGCGCAATCCTGGCATCCCCCCGGAGCTCGCAAAGTGGTGTTACATCTTCTCTTGGTACGTTGTGTCGCTGGTGTTGTAGAAGTTTTGACAGGAGTCTAATCACTTTTTGTCAGACGCACTGTTTGGGAACAGGCGCAGGATGCCATCTTTTATGGAAACAACCATTTTTGGCACAAGTGGAATCATTGGGGTCACATTGAAGCTGTGGTACTTCACTAAAACATTAGTATTGGCAGGCCATACTCCTAGTCCTCGGTAAGCATTAGCAGGTCCTTGCGGCCTCTGGAGTCCCGCCTTTCAACGAGGGCTCTCACGAAGATGAACGGGTGCAATGCAAGCAAGCGCTGACTTCATTTGCATGGAGTGCTGAGATTCACTACTTGTCAATGGGGTAACCATGTCGCTCTTCTCCATGGCCAACCAGGTCCCATAATGCAATGTGTGCAGTATTGCATGCAGGGATTTTCGAAAGTAGTCTTTTTTGTGCAGCTATTCTGATTTGCTGGCTTAAGCTTGCATTATTTCAATCTAATCAGCTGTTACTTCGTGAGGTTCTAATAACAGTAATAATTTATTGGAACAAACAAAATAATATTACTACTACTACTACTATTGTTCAATAATTTCAATATGGGATACTGTAGGTTACCTCCCAATTGCGATTACTACCCGGCAGATTATTAAAATAATAATAATAATCATAATTCGGAAGTGATTGACGAAATCATCAAGCGCTATCGAGGTCAATAGATCACGCATCGAATCATCAACGCCTGGGTTGAACCCATCATTACCCCATTTCTCTTTCCTCATGCCTTACACCCAAAGTACCAACTTTAAAAACCGAACCGGCCTGTGTGACACGGCGTTTTTTTTAGGGCGACGGCACCACTCAAGCCATAATTTTTTTTTTTTTTTTTGGAAGACGTTAATTAATGAAAGTCTGCTTCTTAACACATGCCACTTACTTCGACGCCGTGGTACTTGTCGACGACGCTCTCGTCGCGTCTCGGTGTCGGGTACTGAAATTTCATCGTCGAAAAATTTGCGGCCGAGTTTAGACGTGTACGAAATGCTTTTATCCCTTTTATCGCGACAGTCGAGACGCCGCCGGCTGCCCTCCTCGAAAATACCAGCATTAAGGGGCTCCGACTTGGACTTGACTTGGATTAGAAACTCGTCTTATGTCGAATAAATAAAAGTACGGATGGTGCGGTACGTATCGTACGGAGGCTTGTACGGAGGGAAGGAAATAAAATGGCGTGCCACGTGAAAAGGGATGTACATTTAGGGCCAAGGATGCCACTGGTTAAGGCACAGGTAGTGTCAGACAAATGGAGGTAGATGTTGTAAAAGAGAGCGTGGAGAGGGGGGAGGGGGGATTATGGAGGTAGGAAGATGCTTTGATGTCCAACCAAGAAGTTCGTCGGGCACAAAAGACACAACATTTCACAAGTTGGAACTAACTCTATGGTTGCAACAAATGTGGAAAATAGTTTGTAGTATGGCACGCCAAAGAAACGTGGTAAAATACTATCAGAGTTATTAAGTCACTCGCCACGCTCGCCACAAACGCAAATGTTGGGGCGGCTGGTCATTGGTCTGGTGTAGGAAGCTTCGCAAAATTATCTAGCCGACCGGTTGGGATACCGTAAAAAAGGTTGGGGAAGACCGGGAAAGGAATGGGGCCTTGCGAGGTCGTGCAAAAGAGAGATGGGGAAAATACCGAAGTGCGCAAGGGGCAGCAGCCAGGGCGCTTGCTTTTTGCGCACTTTTGCGCTTGCCCTGCGTGCCGGCGCGTTCTCAATTTTGCTTAAAATTTGCAGGCTATTTTTAATTCGATTTTATGTTGCAAAAATTAGGTAGATTACTTAGTGTCAAGCAACACACAAATTATCAAAAATAGTTGTCTAATAATTATTTGTGCGCTTTGAGCCTTTCTATCGCTATTTTACCGTCAGCTGGCAACGTTGTTTCTCAACTTTCGTTTTCTACGTGTTGTGTGGTGCGGGTTGTGTCGTCGTGGAGAGGTGTTGAGCGTTAACTTTTTGTCCACATTCGAAGCGTTTCCCGTCCAAGATGCCTCGGCTATGCCTGAACAAACTGTTATCCATATCCGTCACCCTAACGTTCATCGTTTTATGCAGCCTAAATTACGGACACGCCAACTATAAAAAGAGCGCCGTAAGTATTGTTTTCGCTGCGATGTGGCAGGTACCCAATGCCGGCTGCCGGCTACGCCACGTATTCGTATACAGGCAGCGTCAACATCACATTATTCTGATACCCCCCTTTCACACGGTGAAGTTATACTGTCCCAAAAAGCGAACCAAAGCGCTTAGATAGCGAACTTAGTGGGTAAACTGCAATCTCGCGTTGTGTTCGGGCCTGATGCAGAAAGTCGAGGGCGATCTCATAATCATAATAAATACTGACGATGCAAAGAATATTTAGGCAATGTTAAATTTTCAAAGACTAAAGCTATACGCACTCCGGAGTGCGCTTCGCGCGGAAATGGCTATACGCACTCCTCCGAGAGATCATGCCGCTCGGGCCACCCTTTTCGAACGGCGCGTGAATCACTGGGGCGCTCGTTAACACAGCCCCCCGCCTGCGTTCACGCCGCTTCGCGGCGACAGTAGCGGCTGCTAATTACAAAGCGTAACCAGTACACGCCGCTTCGCGGCGTCCAGCCGGCAATCCAAGCCCCGCTGTCCCCGATCGCACCTCCGGAAAGGGAGTCCGATACCATTTAGTTCTGCGAAGTTTCTCGACAACATTCGATTTTTTTTTATTTATTTTTTTATTGTTCGTTGCAAAGAAGGAAATGTCGTAAATATCGCCAAATGTCTCGACAAAACAAAATGTTCGAGGAAAAAAAAAAAAAAAAAAAAAAGTAGGCCCACCACGGATCGAACCCGCGTCTACGTGCGTATGAGGCGGACACCCTAACCCGTATGCCATGGCACCGCTTAGGAAACTCGTTGTGTCCACTCTTTTTATACGAGAAAAGCGGAGTGCGTATAGCCATTTCCGTCCGAAGCGCACTCCGGAGTGCGTATAGCTTTACTCATTTTCAAATGCGAATAACATGCACCATCTAAACCTTCCAAAAGATTGCGGTTTAGTTGTGGAGTTTTTTCCCCCCATGGAACTGCTATTCGAAAAGAACGTTCCTCGGACCCTGCTAAAACCTTCGCAAAAAAAGATTTTTTTTTTTTTTTTAATTTCAGTTGTTTTAACCTTTTATTTCTCTCGTTTTCGTTTGAATGCACCCGTGGGTTCGTACAATAACCATATAGTGTGCTGAAAGAGGCACGGGCGCGTCGGTTTTACTGGGAGCTAGGGCAACTAGCAGATCACTTTTCTAAACCTTTGCGCACAAGCTTTTGCCTTGCGCACAAGTCTCGCGGTCTAGTTTATTCTTCAGACTTTTGAATTTCTTTCCTGCAGCATGCACGAACTCATAGTGGTACGTGCATGAAACAAAAATTTGAAGCCAACAAAATTTTGAAGCAACAAATTCAGCCTTTTTGCATAACCCAAACGCAGGCCAGTAAATTTCCTTGTCGGGAGGTTTCATGGCGCTTTGCTTTTTAGCGCCAACTGCTTCCGAATACTTAGCTTGCATTGACGTCACATCAGCCGCCATTGCTTCGTGCCATGCTCCTGTGCCCATACTTTCTGCAGCATACATTTGGCACCATCAAATTTGTTCTCGGCAAAGAACAAATTCAATGGTACGAAATGTATGCTGCAGAATGTACGGGCAGAGGAGCATGGTACGGAGCAATGGCGGCTGGTATGGTGTCATATGACGTCACATGCAAGGCATGTATTGTCTGAGAGTATATACATGTAAACACATTTACCCGTTAAATCTTAATTTGTTTACCTGAAATGGGCCCAATGGCAGAAAATAGCTTTGCAGTTTGTGTGCAGTTAATATGTACAAGCATATGAAGCATTTCAATCATCTTACATGGTCTCTAAAGGGGAATACATAGAAAATATGCTGATAAATGAACCATGCCGATCGAAATAAATAACTGTAACGAAGCCACAGAAAGACTGCCTCTGGCAACACTAGGAATCAAACTGCGGGTCTCCTAATTATTGGTCAGGTATGCAGTGGTCAGCATACCTCACCAGTAGTTAAGAGACCCGCAGTTCGATTCCTAGTGTTGCCAGGGCGGTCTTTCAGTGGCTTGGTAACTTATTTCATTCGATCGGCACGGTTCATTTATCGGTATATTTTCAAGTACATGGATACTGTGAGGCTGTTGAAAGGAATGATTTAACGAGGGTCGATGACTGGTGTCGTTGGTGTTCGAGCAACAAGATCGGTTTCCACCAGCCGACAACCCCTCTGCTTCATCATCTTCTCCCCAACAATACATATGTAAAATACAATCTATTCAATATAGAAAGAATGTCTTTATTACTAAATTATACAATGTCTCAAAAATACTTCATAGTAGAACTTGAAACAAAATAATACCTTCTCGAGCCTCTTTATGACATAGTGCATGCTGCGTGTCGTTAGAAAAATATGGACAATACAAATGCGAAAATGCGTCGCAAGCAGTCGAACCCTACATCTTGGTGTCTCACTGATTGCCTAAAATATGGCTTTTTCACTCTTACAGTTAATGGGTGGAACAGTCTGCCACCGAGTTTAACAAACGTGTCGCAGTTGCTTGCTTCTGAACTTCTGTTTGTCATGAGTCACTCGCACTGCTGCATGTTATTGCACCGTGTCACTTTTGTATGCTTGCCCCCTACATTGGCTGGCAATTGGTGCCCGATCAAGACTGTCGAGTCAGCGTTCAGACTCGTATCTAATCGTTGTTTAGGAGGTGTCGGGTTCACCGCATGCCTAAATAAAATTAAAACAAGCGGGCGAACGTAACGGAAGTTCAGTGTCCTCAGTTTCGCCGGGGGCCTGGATGTTGTTTTGGTCTCGTAGACGCAGCTGACGCTGGGCGAGCGGGTCCAGCAGCTGACGGAGCTGAGCAAGAAGCGGCCCGTTATCCGGCTCAACGCAGAGAAGTTCAAGCAGTATGTGCGGGCGTCGCCGCGGAACTACTCCTTCATCATCATGTTCACGGCCCTGTCCCCGCACCGGCAGTGCAGCATTTGCAGGTGAGGTCGGCCTGTCCTTTTCCAAATGCACCTGGGGTTTAATTTTGGTCACCGCACAATCTAAGTTGCCTCTTGCAGAGCGAGTGAAGAAAAAATTTGTATACTGTTAGTCTGCTAATGCGAGCAAAGAGCACTGTTCGCCTGCTACGAAGCGCCATTTGCAGGCAGAAACAAAACAAGTAAACTGCATACATTGTCTGTTAATAAACCAAAAAGAAAAAAAGTTGAATGTCTGTTACAAACTGAGCGTGTCATTGGTTGATTGCGTGCAAGCTGTGGCGCCATGTCCAATCAGCAGTCGAGAACGCTCTCGCCTTCACCTTGACCAAGGTCGGACCCCTGGGCCGGTTTGCTCGTGAATGTGAGTATCTAGAGGAATTTTGAGGTCATGTGACCGGCTTGTGGCGACAAGATATGAAACATACCTAATGTTGCAGGGAAATGGCTGCCCTAAGTCCGTCCTCGCTTTGATTATTCGAGTCAGATTTTGCACATGGATGGGGGGTGAACAGGCCTTGAAACATAAGTGAATCGAGTCTCACTTGTGTACTTTAGGAGCGGCATGAAATGTTTTTTTTTGGGAAAGTTTGTGCTAAGTGAGATTTAGAGGAAATGGCGGGCAAGGCTTACGTCTGCTGAGCGCAATCGGTTGGAACACTAGATACTTTCTCCTTGTGGAGACGGTTACGTGACCTTAAAATTCCTTTTTGGGCTATTGTAAATGCCAGAAAAGGTACCCACTTTGTTCATCAGCATACCGGCCTTGGTATCCGATTTTTGTTCCTGGGCGAGAGCTTTCTCGACTCCTGATTAAACTCGTCGTCACAGCTTTCTGCTGGGTGAGCACCGCCGACCAATGGGACGGTTTTGACCCAGTTTTGAGTCCGTTGTTGGGCAGCGTTTTGGTGAGAACTTCTCATTAACACACGGATGACGAGAGAGGTTTACGGCCTCTTGTGTACTTGGTCCGAGTTCTCCCTTATCCACCGGAAGATTTTAGTCTGTACAGTAGAAGAACAACTTAAGGTTTGGAAAGGAAGCGCGGGTTGTCGGTCACTTCAAACGTGAAATAGCCGATGACTACAACTTGAATTTGCGTTCGACGTTGCTTCACCCCGCCTTTCGGTTTGTAGCAGACGGACACTTTTTTCGGTGTCATTATACATAGTCGCCAGCTGACAGGGCTAGAATGGCAGGGAGGTCTCAATCTGTGGGCATCAGAAAAAAGCCCTGCCATTCTCATTCTGTCAGTGACTTTAGCAGACGACGTAAAGTTACTTCCGTCAGTGACAGTAGCAGACAAACCCTGTTCTTTGCTTACATTAGCGAACGAGCCTTTCACCAAAAAGGCTCGTTTGTGAAACTTGGTGTCCCAGTTTAGGGAGATGCCAGAGACAGTCTGGCAGAGCTGCAGGGTAACTGATATTAGCCACGATTGCTGTAACTGGAAATAACTTGTTTTGCTAGACTATATTTATATTTTTGTAACTTTGTCGGGAACCTGGAAACACTGACTGCTTTTGATCACACACTTCTGAAGCACTTTTATATTGAGCAGATGATTTTCTTACTGTTTTTTTTTCCATTCTATAGTTTTTTGTAGCGTGCTTGTTGTTCTGCCTTGGTGTTCGACCAGAGTGCTGGCAGTATATACAAATAAATATTATTCATTTGCTACTTGGTTACTTTTAGAGGTGACTGCATTGCTTTCTGTAAGGGTATGATTGTATCTGTAGCTGTGTTACTTTTATGGGTGACTTCAATATTTTTTAAGGATGACTTGTTCCACCTATGCAGATGGTGTAATGTCTGCTCAATCTACGTTGGTGCACCTGTGCTGATCGGAATTGGGTTAGCAGGGAAACGACCGTAGAGATTAGTTTGGCTGTTTTTTTATTTTCTTAAAGAAGTGCCTATTTACACCAGTTGCAACTTTCAACCCGTGATCTCTATTTACCTTTCTTTTTTTTATTGTTGAGCTGAGTCTGGTGCAGTAGGGCCACAAACCGAATAACTTTGTGGACAAACTTGGCGATTTTGATTTCCTTAAAAGAGGATTGGCTGCGTACACCAGTCTTGTCTCTTAACCCATAACCTCTAATCTCTTCTTGTCATTTAGGGCAGTGGTTCTCAAGCATGGATGTGTCAGGGACCCCTTGGGGACCTGCTAAAGTGATTGGGGACCCTATGCCAGTGGGGGAATGGGAGGATGGAGGGAATAAAATGAGACAATTAGTAATTGCACCTTAGAAAGGGCATCCTTTACTGCTACAGACACGAGAAGTGAGAAGCCTCAAGTAAAAGGTTGAATAGATAGTAATGGCTATACCCTTCATAACGGGTGGTACCTAGCGCCACCTAGCCAGTGTTAAGAAAAAAATTTTTTTTTTGAAGAATGGAGAGAAATGGGGGGGATTGAGGCAAGAGCTTTGCAGACCCCTAAACCCCAGCGGGTCTGCAAAACCTCGTTTGAGAATTACTGGTTTAGGGAATCATAGAAAAGCGAACCTAGTTTGGCGCTGCACGGCAGCACCTCAGAAACCCTAACCGTTGTCGTCCCCCTTCTTCCCCCCAGCCAAGCCAACGAGGAGTTCCAGATTGTGGCGAGCTCGTTCCAGTCCTTGGCCTACACCAACCGCCTCTTCTTCGGCCTGGTCGACTACGACGAGGGCCCCGAGGTCTTTGCTCAGGTGAGCGCATCCCCAGGGAGGGCCTCTGCAGTCAACACCATCTAGAAGTTAAAGGGGCCCTGCAAGGACTTTTTACGGTTTTTTAGTTTGCTCCGAACCTGAGCGCCCTGAACGTAGTAACTTAGTGAAAGTTTTCTTTTCGCGAAACTCTCTTTATTTTAAAAGTTATAGGCAATTTAGAATTACAAAAACAAGCAAAAAATTACCTCCTTCATGACGTCGTAGGTCCTGGCTTGAGTGGCCGTGAACTAGAGGAGGAATTGTGAGCTCATCGAGCGCTCACGGCTGCCGCACTCCGTGTCGACGGCGCCAGAGGGCGCCACTAAAGCATGTTCTGGATAGGCTGTATGCAGCGGGCAACCAAAGTAGCTTTCATTGCGTTTGCTGCGCGATTAAACACTAATTCGGCATGACACTTCATTGGCCACAAACGACAACAAACACGGGATAAAGATCAGTTCAGAATGGGAGCCACTTCGCGCTGCTAAACCGCGAAACGGCCAAACCGCAAGACAAAGCCTCTCGCCGAAGGCCTTCGGAACGCTCGGAGCCGGTCGGATCCTCCTGTCCATACGACTGCAGCGCCACCGCGTCATCCGGGATTTTTCCATGTCGGCGCCTTATCCCACTACTCCTTTCTAGTATGCGCCGCCTTTTCCACCGCTTGGCGGCGGGCATGTTGACGGGTCATTTCTTGTTTCCGTACTTTATAAACTGCATTTATTTTCTTTTTTTCATCTATAATAGTGAACAAAAACTACTTTTATAAATAATTGAAACGGTTCGCGCCACTTATGTTTTGTATTTCGACCAAAAAGAAGTTTTTAGTGGCTCTGACCAGTAGTAAGCCCAGGACCAAAGACGTCACATTTTGCGTGCTTTCGGTACCACGGGTCGCCCTCGTCGGTGGAGGAGGTTTCTGTGTCGTCCGGTTAAAATATGGCGCACTGATATTTAGCTACTCTTTCCGTGCCTGCTGGCTTGCCCGAACCCCAAGAGACGTGGAAACCGCATAAAAGGTAGACGCTTAAATATGATTGCAGGGCCCCTTTAAGGCCTGGTCCTTTTTGCCTTGCCTAAACATCGCTACTAGCGATTCCGCGCAGCTTCGCCTAGCTTGCGTCTCGCGCCGCCGCCGAGGGAGACCACATCTGCCACTTTGCGGCGACTCTCGTCAAGCTTGGGTGTATTTGCCGCTTGGTGCGGGTCGGGAATCCTCTAACGACGACGTAGCCAATACAGTGCTGCTGCCCCGGTCCTTAAATGAATTACTTGGCGGTCTGGAAATTTCTCTGGTTTCCACCCTAGTAAGCTTCCTCACCACGAGCAAAGTGGTGGTGATAATATGTGTAAAAGTAAAAAATGCTTTTAAAAAACAAAAGTAGAAAAAAAATTATAATTTTATTTAAAGCAGACTCTGCATCCTTTATGCAATGTTTCAATTGATCCGAAGTAACATGAACTCCAGGTCTCAAGTACAGGTGGCGTTCCCCAGTTGTCCATCTTTTTAGAGTTTTCATGAGGGAGGAAAAAAAAAAAAAGATTAGTGATTAGCATCAGTATTTTTATTTCAGGAAGTGCTACCAAGTTTGTATGCCACGTATAAAGTTATCTAATGAGGAGAGTCGTGAGCTTGGGCGCCAGGCTCGGTAACATTCCGGAGCGGTACCGAAACGTTTCCCGTTCGACACAATTGCCCAGTAGTTTGCTGCGATTGTTTTTTTAGTCTTCAGAACTGTAGAGTGTGAAGTGTTTGTTATCTAGTAATCAAGCTGTTGCCAATGTATTGGGATCTTGGACTTTGCGCGGATCCAACGGTGGAGGAAGGGCGATGGGGGCAACTGACTCCCCCTCTCCCCCACCCTCCCAAACAATGACAACCATTATTTTCCAAACTATAGTCCGCAAGGGCAAAGTTCGGCTGAAAAAGAGAAGTTTATTCTTGGATGTTCTGCACCCTGTGCATATTCCGCACTTGAGCTCAAATTCTCGTACCCCGCACACTTCGAGAAATGCCTGCTCTATCAGCGCAGAGAGATTTGTGCATCATACAAAAGTCATCATTAACATAGTTTGTCATGCACAAAATCCCTCGCATCACGTCACAATGAGCAACCTTGAAAAGCAAGTCCTTGTGTAGTTTGCACCTGTAGATAGTTTGCGCGGCATAGGATTACAACATTTAGATGTGCATAGTCTGCGGACTGCTGTAAAATAGCCGAGCAAGTGCCCACTCAAAATATAGAGATGATCTTGAAAATTTGGGAATGGGCACTCACTTGTTAGGTCATCGGTTTTGCCTATATATGTGCTGCACCTATTTTTTCCGATCTTGAAAAATTTAGGGGTGGGTGCTTAGTATGGAATGGGCGGATGCTCGGTATTTTACGGTATAGTACGGAAAATATGGTACTTCCCCCTGCGCAATTTGACAAGGGCATGCCCGCCCGCACGCGTGGCCGGTTCTTGCAGGCATTTGCCGGTGTATCTTGGCCATTCCTAGGTCTACCACTCTAGTCAAATGCATAGTAACCCCAATGTTGCAAACATGTCTCTGAATCTTTGGAAGCGTCGTGCATAACAAAAAGACAGTGGCGACGGTAGAATGGGCACAAAAGACTGGCGGTAAAAAGCATTCTAGGATGCCTGCATAAGTGCCTCGTCGGAGGCTGCCAATAGTCAACACTATAACCCCATTTCCTGCAAATAAGTGAAAGAAAACAAAACAAAAAATGATTACATCTCCACGTGTTGAATGATGTTTATTGGGACGAAGCTCTGGTGGTGCTTGTCTGCATAGACGCTGAGCCGCAGCATGCCGAGCCTTTCGTTCGTTTTTATCCATGTCAGAAAGAGAATGTGTGGTATGGAACGTGGTTATACAGTCAAAGCTCATTAATTCGACTCTGGCGGTTCATCGAAAATAGATCGAATTATCGAAGAGTCAAATTATTGAATATTGATCGAAACGAGTAACGACGTACGTCACGAGAAGCGGCGAAAAGCCAACCGTGACGACGGAGTTTTATTTCGAAAAAAACGCAGATATTTTCTGTTGCCGCATTCCCGTCAGACGCTTCGCTTCACAAAAACAAATTTCCGCATATCCTCAATGTGCGGCCACATCGTCCTGTCGGTGTCTTCAAACGTTGCGAAGTTCGGAAGTACATCGAGCGCAGCGGATGCTTCGGCAGGAGATGGGCGTGGCGGCGGCTCTTCGGTGGCACTCTCGCAGCTGTCGTCCTCCTGACCCTCGGGACGCAGAAACGATGCAGTGATTTCGTCGTCAGTCAATTGACCGCACACAAGCACTCCATCATCTATCGCAACGTAATCATCGAAACTAACGTTTTCGGGTAAAGCGGACATTAGAACACTGCACTCTTCGTCAAAGTTTTCATCTTCAATTGTGGTTGCCGATGTTTTAGCCGATGCAGTTGCCGATGTAGTAGCCGATGCAGTTGCCGATGTAGACGTAGTAGCCGATGCAGTTGCCGATGTAGACGTACTAGCCGATGCAGTCGTCGAACTTGCTTTATTTCCATCACACGAGAAACCACAGTGACGAAAGCGGTTCGCGATGACCTGGCTTGGCATGTCCGTCCAAGCTTTAACAAGCATATGAATCGCCCCCAACAGAGTGATTTCATAGCACTTACCCTGGTCCAGACAAAGCAATATTCTTGCCATGAGATGCTTGCGGTACAAGCCTTTCAGGCGTTTGATTATTCCTTCATCCATTGGTTGCAAGAGTGAGGTGGTTGCGGGTGGAAGGAAAATCAGGCGGATCATAGACAGCTCCGGCATTTTTGTGTGCCCACTGCAGTTGTCCGCTAAACATGACCTTGGCCCTTGGACGCGAACTGGCGGTTCAATTTTTGAAGCCAATCTTGAAAGATCTCACGTGTCATCCACGCTTTTTGTTGAAACTGTAGTCCGTTGGAAGCCGCGGGATGTTCCGAAAGCATTGTGGTGTCTTGGATTTCCAGATCACCAAAAGAGGCAGACGTTCCATGCCTGTCATGTTGGCTGCCACGAGCACGGTCACTCGCTCTTTACTGCGTCTTCCCCCAGTGCAAGGATCCCCTTTGAACGTTATCGTTTTGTCGGGGAGAGCTTTGAAAAACAACACCGTTTCGTCGCAATTGAATATGTCCTCGGGCGCATACTCTGCAACAATACGTGCGAGCTCCGACGTCTTCCAGTTTTCACACAAATCTTCATCCACATCGGCTCTTTCACCGCACACGTGCTTAAAAATAAGAGAGTGCCTCTCCCTGAATCTTGCGAGCCATCCCTCGGAAGCACGGAATCCCTCGATGCCCAAACATTCGCTGAACTGTTGAGCCTTTGCGCGAATCATGTCTCCAGTCATCGGAAGGTTGTGCGTTCTTCGTTCTGTCACCCATTTGTAAACGGCTTCTTCGAGTTCTGGATGGGCTGCACTGCGAAGGTGTTTTCTTGAATTCACAAATTGCTCTTCTTCAAAAGCTTTCACGATTGCTGCTTCATTCCTAATGTAGGTAGCAAGTGTGCTTTTCTTGAGGTCATACTTTTCGGCAATTTCTTTTCTGGACAATTTTCCCTCCCTAGCTTCGTTGAGTATGTGAACTTTTGTTTTTAAATCATTCGAAGAGTACTTTCCTCGCTTTTCTTTTGACATTTTCCGGTATGAGCGTTAAACGCCGCGCACTCCAAAGAACAGAAACCAGAAACCGCGTGACAGCACGGTCCCTCTTCATCGCTCGCTCATTGTTCTCCAGTCTCCTTCTCCATCCTCCCGACGTTCTTTCTCACTTCATCGCCCACTCATTTCCCTCTCGTTGCTCCCGTCTCCTTCCGATCGGGCCGGTGCGCTTTGACTGGGTCTTATCTTGACTAGTCAAATCGGCCCTTTCTCCGGCGCGAGGCGCCGGCGAAAGGGCGCCTGTCTGCGCGGGCGCTCTTTCGTGGAGCGCGCCGTGGCTCGAGGCGCCGGGGGCGCCGACGGGCATCGCGCGTCTGTGGAGGTGTCGCGATCAGGCACGGGCTCGCTGCAACGGCTGTTTGCCAATATGGGTAGGGACGCGTGTTGTGTTCTGAGGTGTTGTTTTAACCTTTAAACTTATAGTGTTAGCTTAAAAAATATTTCCGGTTACGAAGATGCTGGCTCCCGGGACGAATTATCGGGTTGGGGATATTTATCAGATCGAAATACCGGGGTTTTCTCCCTATTGAAGCCTGTACATTTCTGACGGTGCTAAACGGAAGGATCGAATTAACGCGATGATCGAAATAACGGGAGTCGAAATAACGAGCTTCGACTGTATATGCATTTGAGCATTTGACCGCAGCGCCCTCTCGACTATAAACGTTGAGCCAATGCATGCAAAGTTTAACGCGATTATATATGCATTTGATTGCAGCGCCCTCTCCTGTATAGACGTTGAGCGGCTACATGCAACGTTTCATCTATGACATCCCCAGCTCTTGAGTTACTACCACATCTCAGAGCCCCCTACTCGATGGACTAGAAATTCATTCGGGTCTCCCCGCACAGGTTTGAATCCTGTAGACTGCGCAACCTACACAAGCACGTGAGCTCATGAGCACGAGCACCAGCAAGATCGATGTGAGCACAAACGTTGGACGAACAAGGCTAGACCATAACGAGCTTCGCCTTTAAATACTTGCTCTCAACAATTGTATATAGCTCGATAGTTTATTGTCCACTTCGTTGGCGTTAAGGTTCCCTTGTGGCCCCTGGAATGCAGAGTGGTAGGTTCGTACCCTGTGCTGATACCCTCCCCCAGGGAGTATCTGAGGCATCGCTCGTAGACTTAGTTGTTGGTTAGCCATACTATTTGAATGGTTGTGCTAGCACGATGTCCAAGTGAAACATTGTGACATGCTTCTTTTTTTTTTTTTCTTTTCAGCTGAAACAAAACTCTGCTCCCGTGTTCCTGCACTTTTCTGAGAAGGGACCCCTAAAGAAGGGAGACCAGATGGACATTCAGAGGTGAGCGGGGGTGCGGACGTGCCTGCCAACGGGTGACAAACGTTGGCGACGCAGTTTTAAAAGGGTACTCAAGTGCTTTGTATAGAAGCTTATTTTTGATAGCATATTGTTCGTTGGGCTTTAGTCATGAAAGGGGCACGCAAGTGGTTTTTGAGTTTGTGTTTTGATGATGACAACTGAATCTAGACGCCCTAAGTACCCCTAAAAACCAAAAAATATAGTCATACGGTGATTATTTTTTTAATAAAAATGTAATTGAAGGCCGCCAAAGCTCGGATTCATCCGAAAACGAAACCACTCTCATTGGTCACCGCTCGCATATCAAAACGATCTTGGGCCAATGGCGTTGGACGACGTTCTGTCGCGCAGCGATCCCGAGGTAGCAGCACCAGCCAAACTTTTTTTGTCATTCGAGCTTCGATCATGGCGGAGTTCTCTACTCTCGAGGACCTGACGCCGTTAGAGGTTGAAATTCTTCGGCGGACAGCTGACCTGGGGATGATTTCCTATGAAGCCACTCTGACGTGCGATGTGGACGATAGCAGCGCTTCGGAGTCGTGTTCAGGTTCCGAGGACGACGAAAAGCAGACCTTTTCGGGTGTTCGATTTGCGGTTGGGGCAATTCATAACCAAACAAACGTTTGGCATCGCAGCGATGTCAAACGATGTCGCCACATTGACTTTTGCCTCGGGAGGAAGGCTGGTTCAGACGTGTGCAACGAGCGCGTTCTACGACTGCGTCCGTTGTAACCGGAGCGACCGGAACGACCGCTCTGTGCCGCGCGTACACACACTTGCAAGTTGCAACCACTGCAACAAGCGCAGCGGGTCGTCAGCACAACGACCGTTTCTACGCCGCCGCTGTCAGCTGTTTCAGCGGTGCCTCTAAAAAGGGGACGCACTGCCACTCAATACCATAACAGAATATAGACAGACAGTTTTCTATAGCCTGAAGCTTTATTATTGTTTTTTCCATAATTAGCTTGCAGGGTACAGTGGATGAAAAAAAAGAAAAGAAAAAGATGCAGTACGCCGTCTTGGACGATCATGACTCTAATACACGACTTTGCCAACAGTACAAATATCGGCACACGCCTTTTCTACGCTTATAAAAGACTATGTAATCTTAGCAGCGATATAGCAACGTAGAAATATGATTTCGTGATCAGATAGACGTTGCGAGCGTTCAGGATTGCTAACACTAATCACCTTTCTCCGGTGATGAAAACGCGTGAAACTTCGTATCCTTTATACGGTATGCGCCAGTAATACCTTGAACTTGAGCACACGGATAAAATGCGCCAAATAAGAAATCCGGGCGATGTTTGAGGACACAAATGCTTAGAAAGCACCTCTGTAGTCGAAGTAAACAAACACGACGGCACGGACGTTTCTGCTGTCTTGAGAGTGCCGCCACGACATCGCCGCATGAGTAGGTGGACCTTCCCTTCTAGTACGTGCTGGGTTATCATAACGACACACGACGAAAACTCACAGTCAAGGATAGTGCTTTTAAGTGGAACGGTGAGCTTTCACCACGCCGTCCACGTCGACGATCATGAACGGGCCTGGAGACATGAACGCACTTCCGAAAACCCGGAGGGAAAGAATGCATGATACGTGCGCTTCCGTGCATCCCGAGGGAACGGGAAATTCCCCCCCGCGGAGGAAGGCAAGGAGGAAACATAGTCCGTTGTTTGTGAAACAATAATTGCAGTATCGCGTATTCGAAACTAGAACTATTTTACGTCTTGTGAAATTATCATGCATAACATATCTAAATGAACTGAAAATTGTTTCTTTAGCGAAACTTTACAAAGGCCGCCAGAATTTTCAGACATACGATAATTTCATTGGTCGGCGCAGGAACAGAAGCTGAAGCTTCTGAAACTGAAGATACTCATTCACTGACGCTTCTTTATTGCCATCGCACCAAAAAGTAGCTTCCCCAAAAACCACTTGAGTTCCCCTTTCAAAAAAGGCCAGTTCAAGATAGCAAGACGTCATAGTAAACCCACAGCAATAGAAAAACATGGGCACCGTTTTCTCAGGAAGGGGAATCCTCAATTACCCACCACCGCCACAAAATTTGACCAATGCAAATAGGTAATATCATGGAGATCCCAAGCGTTATTATTGCTCTTTTTAGGCTCGTTGTGCATTATATTTTGACTAAAACGTCAGATCTCTGGATGTAAGGAACGTAATACAGCAGTTATTGTTTGAAAATGCTGTCCGACGGCGCCACCTGGTGTCTGCTCCGAGGCACAGAAAGAGGGGCCCGTCACGGTATTTGATTGTATTTTTAATTGAAAAATCGACCGCCCACGTGTGTAATTTTGGGCTTTTTAGGATGCTTAGAGCGCGTAGATTGAGTTATCACCATAAACAATTGTAGAGCCCTTCCACTTCACATGAAGATGGAGGAGCAGCGAAGCTGTTATCTTCACGATGTCTAGGACGATGCCTAGAGGATGATGTCTAGGACGACCTCGAGGACGAAGCCTAGAAGACGACGTTTAGGACAACCTCAAGGGCGACTTCTAGGATGTCCTCAAGGACTACTAGGACGACTTCTAGTACAAACTCAAGGACGATGCCTAGGACGATCTCAAGGACGGCTTCCTAGGTGACCTCGAGGACGACTTCTAGGACAACCTCGAGGACGGCATCTAGGACGACCGTAGGTCGACTTCTAGGACGACCTCAAGGACGACTTCTAGGACGACAACGAGGACGATGCCTAGAGATGATAACAAGGGATCAGGACCTCACTATCTAACAATGCCAAGGAAGGCTGACTCATGCTGGTTTTTATTTTTTGTTTTTATTTATTCATACTTACCACGACTAATGGGGAGTTTTCTGTTGACATATGAGGACACATTTTTTCCCAGACCTCAGTGCCTCTTTAAAGAGTCATGAAACAATATAGGGTTTGGAATGTTTGGGACTTTGCAGAAACATACTGGTCCTAGTCTGGCCCAAGTATATTCTTACAGACCACCACAGATTCAGAAGCTTCTTTGTCGCAGTAAAATTGCGAGGATAGCAGGGGACTTGGTCTTACCTTCGCAAAGCTCAGTGATGTAATTGTGGGATCGAAACCACTCGCTTGACGACAGTCGAGCACAGCTCGTGGATTGGACACGAAAACTGCGTGAGCACTCAACTTTGGATCGTAACAATAAATGCCTGGGTGGTCACTCGAGTAGTGGCTCGTGTCCAACCATTGCGGTGACGAGATTGGCCGAACTCTAACCGTGCCTAGAGCTCGGCACGGGTTTTCTGCTTCGCCAACCCCAGCCGCATGGCTATGATTAACGTTGGCGGCATAGGGTATGCGCCAGGCCACTTGGCCACTTGTTCTGCCTCCAAGTCAAGGGGGTGAATGACGCTCATATTTCTCGAATTTCTTTGCCGACTGCCATTGCTTAGAAGGAAAAACTAAGGCAAGTTTCTTTGGTGATTAACCTTAGGCAGTGATTCTAAGTAATATTTAGCAAAAGCAGAAAACTCTTTTCATGGCACCTTTAAGGGTGGTCTGCACACTTGCGTTTATGTTGCGACCACTTACTACGATTAAAGCCCCTTAATGTGTTTGTTTTACGAGTACCGTATTTGCACGAATTTAACGCAATCACGAATATAATGCGAGGGCAGGTTTTGATGCCCTCAAAAAGAAAATATTATTGCTATTATAACGCGAACCAAGGCCGCATCAATTTCTCGCACTCGGGGGCATAGCAGAAGTGAAAAGTGAATAAAAATAAAAGAAATATCAGTTTATGTTTTACCTGCACTCATCCTCACTGCTCAGGTCCTTCTGTTTACAATCCACTTGGCGACTACGCAGAGAAGCAGCAGCACGGCACCTGCTTGTCTGCTAGTTCCTTTTTCTTCCGTGCAAGCTCCTCAACAGCCGACAATCCCAACAAGGCAGGAAGCAGAATCACAAACACCAGACCACTCTGGAGCAGAAACTAAACAATGTGCAGGCAGAAAAAAAGACTGCTGAATCCAATACACGATCACACTTCTTGTTCTGGTCCCTTTGCATAAACAAATGCCTCGTGTTGCCTGATTGCGTAAACGTAACAGCAGTCGGTGGTCTTGGTTTGGCTTGTGTTGACTTGACTTGGCCCGGCTTGGCCTTTTGCATTGAGCCGGAGGGATGGCTTTCTCCCCTGGCTTTCTCCAGACTCGCGCGCCTCGTGACTGAACTCGATTCCGAATATAACGTGAGGTGCGTTTTGGAGCACGTAATTTCGAAAAAAAAACAAAAAAACCTCTCGTTATACATATTCGTGCAAATACGGTAACATCAAATGCGCCAATGCGTGAGATGCGAGCCTAGTGGTGCTCATGCGACCCTTGGAAGCAAATGGCGGCTCTGCACTGAAACGAGCGGCCCTTGAAAGCGAATGGCGCCGGGGGGACAGCTGCGCCAATTGTGCTATTTTGCTACATTCACAATTTTCTGCTCCTAGCTGCTCCAAAAGCTCAAAATGAACAAAATTGCACCACGCTGCGCCAGAAATCACTGTTTGAGAATTAAAAACCATAATGCATTGGCTGGGCGTTTTTTTGTTTTTTTTGGTCGAATTTGAGATGGAAAGAATAGTTACACGTAGCAAGCAGATTTATAAATTCTCTCAATTAGGATAACTGTGAAACAAATATGTTGTTTATCTGCCACAGTTCATATAGTTGCTATATTAAAATCGGCGAGCTTAGAAGTTGACAACTGAAAGGTTGGGAACAGCTTTCACGAGTTGAGGTAGCTTTCGTTCAGGCATGGTGCACGATAGTGAAAGGCTGAGAAACTATTCAGTATTTGTCCAACACCACTATACGCTTTGCATTCACTTCAAACTCAAAATTCTCTATTCACACATAACTGCTGCACTTCATTTTTCCTCTGTGAATAAATGGCAAGTTTGTGTTTTATTTCGACTGAATGCCATGACATATTGCCAAGAGAGAGAGAGAGCATTAGTGAAAAAACTTACTGTTTGGTTCTCTCGATGAAAGTTAATCGGGGAAATCTTTAGTACTTGCAACTATTATGCCTTTTTCTGCTTATAACAAATATTCACTTTTTTTTTTTTTTTTTCAGGATTGGTTTTGGAGCGGACAGTATTGCCCGATGGATTGCAGAACGTACTGAAGTCCAAGTAAGTTTGGATTCTTGGCGTGTTGGCCTTACTGCGCAATGGGTTGCAAATTGTGCCACCTGGGCACAATTTTTTGGCTTAGTTTATTTTATGTGTCTCCACATGTGCAACAGTTTGTAAAGCGAGGCCTTGAGAATGTTACATTAGACGCAAGATGCAGCTAAAAAGCCACTATACTTTGTCTTCCATTCCAATGAGCTGCAGCAGTTGCTATGAGCCAACCTGGCCAATCGAAAACTGTCAAACTCTCGGGCGACACCTGCACGGCATCAGATTGGCTGGAGTGACTTGTAGCGTCCACTGTGGTTTATTGTCAGGAGAAACAAGTATAACTAAGGTTACAGTTTAGTCCGCTTAGGTGGAAGAAGCGAGGATCGTGAAATATTTCGATGTAGAGAAAATTCTATATACAAAATGAAGCAAAAAAAATGTGCGTAAGAGCAATGCAGCAGACCCACTCGCGGCTCTCACTGGCCTGCACTTTACCATTGATCGGAACGCTTTGTCGAAGAGTTGACGATAATTTATTGGAGCAAAAACAACCGCGTTAGTAGAGCCCGTTTCTTTGAGCTCGTTGCATACCTGGTACCGGCCTGTTTTACGGTATCTAAACAGTCGACAAGTGCAAGTGCGTAGCGTCATAGCCTTGGCAGCAGCGGCTACACTCGAGCTCGGATGCAGCACAGTGTCCTCGGCGTCTGCGGGAGTGGGCTCGCCGCTTGCAACAGGTTGCTCCTGAACGACCTCGGTGGGGATCTCCACGTCAATCGGCTCCGCCATCACTCCCGCGGCTTCGTCGTCTTCGACGACGTCGTGGGAACCATGGCGGAGCTGGCCGACATCCGTTCCTTCACGCTGGCAGCCATCTTGTTCAAGAAGAGGCGAGCGAAACGACACAAACGCAGTGGAGCGGCATAGCCGACCGAGTGCAGAAAGCGGACGGCACGTACTGGGGGTCGGTGACGCCCCAGTGCCCTGTGTGGTGCTTCCGGCACCAACGGCTACACGCGCGGTGCTGGTCGAGCGTTTTGGAGTCGCAAGTGCCTGCTGCGTCACTACCGTGCGCCAGTGTATTGTGGGGAAGCCTTCGCACAATGCGGCACTGGAGACTTTGATACGTCCGTTATGAACCCAATCACATTCGATGTAATAATAATAAAATGCGCAAAACTTTTATCAGAATTCTACGAGGGTTTGATATAGGCAATAATTTGATATACCTGCATCTGATATAATTAGGTTTGATTGTTCGATATACCTACGTTCAATACAATTAGGTTCAACTATATTAAAAGTTACTGTAATTAGTTAAAATATTACTAACAGAACGCCTCTCGAGTTTAAGTGAAGTTTCAGTAACTTTAACCTCAACTTGGTTACATTTTTGGAGTAACTTGTAACACAGTCTAGTTATAGTAATGCGGAGGGCAAGTTCGTCTGCTTCTTGCGCAGGAAGTAGCGGTGACATCAGAACGCCGAGCCCTGATTGGCTGATCGCGACCCCCTATCTGAGCGTCGTCTGCTCCTTTGCAACGTCGTCTGCATCTGTCTTACCTTTCCTGCGACTTTCGAAAGTGCAGAGGCGAGAGGCCAGGTTCACAAAACAATCTTACGCCAAAAATATGCGTAAGACAAAACTTGAGAACAAATTCGTGTTCACGAAACAAAATGTTCGTAAGTTTTGTGCAGGTTACGACAAAATCCTACGACAGCTCCGAAGCTGTCTTACGCACTTCTGACGATCAAATCAGCATGGCCGACAGCATCGCGGTCGCGACGACCAACGGACGTTTATTTTTCTATATGCGCTTCTCACGCGTCCCGACTTCAAGCAGCAAGAAAAAAGTAAAAAGTACTTGAAACTGACCACGACGAACAAGAACGCTGGATCCACAAACACTCAGGAAAAGCTCCAACGGCCACGATTCCACCGACGACCAAGCGAGCACGGCAGATAGGCTTAGCAGGCACTCCGACTCGGCGACCGTCTGCCCACGACCGGCTGGCGTGCTGAATGGAATATGCCCGCGCGACCCTTGTGAACCCTTCCCGTCTTATACTTTGATGGCTGACCTCAATTTTAAATTAAGAGGTCAATCTCTTCCTCTTGTCATCTCCTTGTTTTCCGAGGCAACGGTGACTCTCGCCGGTAAAAAAGCGGTGAATCTCCGACAGACGCAGGAAAGGTAAAGCAGCCATAGCTTTGACTAGCAGACGTAAAGCAGACGATGTTAACTGCGCCAACCCGCCGACGCCGTTAAAGAGTGAGGAGTCTCGCCGCACACGAAAGGAAGGAAAAGTATTTGGGAGGGAACTTGTGGACACTAACCACCCTCACTCTCGGTTCTTAGCAAGCAAACCTTGGCGCCTCGGGACACCTTGCCAGTGAGTCCCTTGACTTCCCTCCTTGATGCGCGTCTGCTAGTTGTTAGACAAAAACAACGTACCGCTCGGGTTATTTCGCCTGCCCTCTCTGAAAGGCGAAGTCGAGCTTGCTCGACTTTCGAAAGTCGCAGGAAAGGTAAGACAGATGTAGACGACGTTGTGAGCAGACGACGTTGCAAAGGAGCAGACGACGCTCAGATAGGGGGTCGCGATCAGCCAATCAGGGCTCGGCGTTCTGACGTCACCGCTACTTCCTTTCTCATGCGCAGAAGACGAAAATGAGCCCACTTGCGAGGCGTATAGTTGGCAGATATACAGATTCATATTGAGTTAGTCTCAGCATCATCATTGCCATAAAATATGGGAGTGCCTACCCCAATTTCACCGAAAACTGGGTTAATCTAGACATGGGCACTTGTCCGGTCAAATCAGGCACTTAACGTATAAATTGCAGCGTTCTCAAGTCTTGGAATCGTCAAAAGTGGGCGCTTCCACGGTATTTTACGGTATGTGATCTCACTGCCCCAAGCTCTGCTCTGAGCCGAGGCTTAAAAAGCACCATGGAAGGCAGGATGCATTTTTATTGTGCATTTCAGTAGAGCGAGTTTTCTTATGGCTTTCACACGCTTCTAATGTATAGAACAGGGGTGGCCAAGCTTGCGGCTTTTCGCGTGTCGAAGTGCGACTTGCTGCTCCCTCCTCTAAGCCCCCCCTTACACACACATGCGCATGCACACGAACGCACGCACGCATGGACGCACGCGCACACACACGCACGCGCACACACACACACACACACTTTCCCGCCTCTCCCCGGTCACATGAGCACTTCCCAAAAAGAGAAATGGAACGCGTTTTAAATCGAAAGATTGGTTGCGGTTTGGTAGTCTTGTGCTACTGCTACCTTATGTACAGTTAGACTGCTTTTGACTCGGATAGATTAAAAGTAGTTCGGTTTTCGTTTATTGCTCTGGACAAAAGTTTGCCCCCCTGGAGCTCTTGGTAGTTTCGTGGTTTTGTTTGCGGCTTTTAGGCCGAGTCAGCCTGGCCACCCTTGGTATAGGAAGTTGGCGCAGTCTCGTGATGTAACGCCGACCGTAATTGTGTGCAATTTCAGCGATTACATGTCCAGGTTGTTGCATGTTTTAAGCCGAACTGCAACACTGGGTTGTGGTGCCGACCGAGCGGGGCAATAACCAACCACTGGAAAATGGTGGTTGTGGTACTCGGAAAAGTGTACCGAAACTCTCTATCTTGTTTCCGAAAAGGCAAGTGTCGCGCCGTCTGCGAGCGGGTTTTTAGGGCGGCAAGGTGGTTTTGCGGCCGGATGAGGCAGTGTCGCATACCTTCCAGATCCGCATCTTCAGGCCGCCAAGCTACTCGGGCACGATTGCACTGGTCATCCTGGTGGCCCTCATCGGAGCGCTACTGTACATGCGGAGGAACAACCTCGACTTCCTCTACAACAAGACGTCCTGGGGCATTGCGGCGCTGGTGAGATTCCAGACCGCTTGGTTGTCTGTTGGAAGTCCATGGAGTGCCATTGCGGACAATGGTCTTGTACCGGCCGGTTTACGCGTGTAGCTCAGCACTCAAATAATTCAGTCAGCATTACATCAGTGTTTCTGGCAGCATTACTATCAGTGCAGACTCAGCGTTACTGATGGTGCTGTCTCAGCATTACTGCCAGTGCTGACTTAGTGTTAGTAGGGAGTTGTAATAGACCGCGTCTGCCGTCGCGCTAAGCTTACCGAAGCTTACCTGAACTTATCTAGTGACGCTAACCATAACCGGAAACGTACGCGCGCCGCTAGCCTTGGCTGCAGAACTTCGGGCCTCGTTTCCGGTCGCCGTAAGCTTAGCGGATAGCAGACACGGTCTACTACAACTCCCTACTGTCAGCACTGACTCAGCCTTACTGGCACTGCTGCCTCAGCATTACTGACAGTGCTTGCTCGGCATTACTGTCAGCACTGACTCAGCATTACTGTCAGCACTGACTCAGCATTACTGTCAGCACTGACTCAGCATTACTGTCAGCACTGACTCAGCATTACTGTCAGCACTGACTCAGCATTACTGTCAGCACTGACTCAGCATTACTGCCAGCACTGACTCAGCATTACTGCCAGCACTGACTCAGCATTACTGCCAGCACTGACTCAGCATTACTGCCAGCGCTGACTCAGCATTACTGCCAGCGCTGACTCAGCACTACTGTCAGCGCTGACTCAGCACTACTGTCAGCGCTGACCGACCACCGACTTAGCCCTGCCCTGGGTGTGTAAGCAAGAAAATGTGGAGAGATACGCATTCTTGTTCTGGTACAGCACTGATGGAGTACAAAGTCAGTGCTTTCATCTACAGCTCTGCATGAACGGGCCTTATGGGTTCTGAGGAAAACAAGATCAGTACTTCGGAGGTTTACGTTGATCTTCCAAACCCTCACGGCATGCCGATGAAAGTCATAAAGCAATGGTTTTTAGAGCGCAGCTCTTAGGTGTCCGTTTCCGGCTTGAGCACCGTTGGCGTCGGCGTAACCGCGCAGTGCATTAGGGGTAAATTTCCCCGCTAAATTTAGTGAAAAATATTTCCCCGCTAAATTTAGCTTAAAAAAATTCCCTCTCTAAATTTAGCGTAAAAATTTCCCCGCTAAATTTAGCGGAAAAATTTCCCTGCTAAATTTAGCAGAAAAAAGCGGAGCAAACTTCCGTGCTACATTTAGCGGACAAAATTTTCCCACTAAATTTAGCGGGAAAGTTTCCCTGCTAAATTTAGTGTAAAAATTTCCCCGCTATATTTAGCGGAAAAATTTTCCTGCTAAATTTAGCGCAAAATATTTCCCTGCTAATATTAGCAAAAAAATTTCCCCGCGAAAATTAGTGGAAAAAGATTTTCCGCTAAATTTAGGGGAAAAATTTACCCGCAAAATTTAGCAGGAAAATTTCCCCACTAAGTTTACCGGGAAATTTTCCCCTAAATGGTAGGCAAGCAGGAGAGGAGGAGGGGCATAGCCTTCTCTCCATACCTTCCCCTCCTCCCCCTCAAGAGCTGCGCTCTAATTCGGCGTTAAAGTGGATTCTAAACGTCTTTCATTTTTTTTGTCCCAAAGTTCCCGGTCTCCAGCATTCACTGGAATCGGGAATTTCAGCCAAACTGAAAATGATCTTGAATTGAAACCCTTAGTTCAGTTTAATATCATAGCCAAACTGAAAATTAACCTAAACTAGAACGTCCAACCAAATGAAAATATTTTGCTGGATTGAAGCTTCAGCCAAATCACTTTGTGAACTGGGGGACTTTGATTGGTTTACGGAATGCAACCAAAATGCTTCAGAAGGTAGTGCAATTTGGGAGGAAAGCAGTTACTTTGGGATGGGCTTTCATTGGCATTTGCGTGTTTCTCATTTTCTTACTGAGCCCATGGAAGGTAGCCATCCTCGATCCTGGTCTGTGGTTGTCATTGATGGTTCTAGACTAGTTTTTTTTTAATGCTGAGTCAGCGCAAGAATGCCGATGAAAGCCATAACGTCATTGTTTTTTTTTTCACAAAGTTCCCGATCCATTCAGTGGAATTGGGAATTTAAGCAAAATGGTTGAAGATGAAATTTTGGTTAAATATATTTGTGTCTGGAAGGGAATAAAAGTAGGAAAGGTTGGTTAATTCAGAGACGGAATTACAATGGACATCCTGCAAAGCGGTGGTGTTTTATTATGCATAATGAAAGCTCTCTCTAGCGAATTTCATTCTCAACAAGACAAAAATATCTTTGCTAGATGAGTATTTTGGCTGTATCAGTACTTCAAGTGTGTGCACCTGCACGACAAACTTATCTGACCTTTACGCTATTGTTTAAAGAAATGTTGCTCTAAACTTGGAATACAAAGGCATATCAGGTGTTGATAATACTACCGTAAAATCCCATAAGGACGCCCAACCAAAATGAAGAGATAAATGATGGAAAACATGGGGTGGGCTATCTTTGGGGATGCCACAGCAAAACTTTATCAAAAATTAATAATAAGCGCCAGGGCACCCGCTACAAACCACGTGACGCTGGAACTGATACCGCAGATCGCGGACACGGCAAATTTGCGTTTCGCGGTGTGATAAACATGCAGGAATTCGCTACAAACTCCTGTGTCACGGGAAAGGATACCGCAAGTGACCAACGCAGCAGATTCGCGTTTCACGGTGTGAAGGACTCGCGGAAACCCGCCGAGAACTCACATCTCACGGGAACGGATACCGCAGATCGCGGATGCAGCAGATTCAAGTTTCATGGTGCAATAAAGACGCGGGAACCCGCTATAATCTGGCCTGTCACGGAAACCGATATCGCTCGCGCAGATTGCGGACAAAAACACGGGAATATGCTACAAACTCGCATGTCACAGAAACGAATACCGCAGATTGCGGACGCGACAGAATTGCATTTCACGAAGCAATATACACGCGGGAACAAGTCACGCGTGTTACTTACAGATAAAAATCTATATCCCGTCCGCAGATCGCGGACAAAAACACGAAAATCCGCTACTAACTCGGGAATGGATACCGCAAATCGCAAACGCAGCAGATTTGCATTTCACGGTGCAATATACACGCGGGAACAACTAGCGTGCTATGCGAGCCGATATCGCGCGCAGATCGCAGACTAGCGCGGGAACCTGCTATGGAACTCCCTTCTCGGACACACCGGTACCGCCGATCGCGGCGGGGAGGGGGGGGGGGGAGGAGAGAGGGAGGGAGGGGGGAGGGGGCAATGTTTCGGTATTTTTATGTTTCAGATATTTAGCCAGAAAAGTGGGATGGGCGATCTTTCGGGGGAGGGTGCCCTTACGAGATTTTACGGTAGTTAGAAAACTGATGTAGTAAAGATATTTTGTATAAATTAGCTTTTTTCATGAAGAATGCTAATTATACTCTACTGTATTCATGCACTTGTGCATCTTATGTGTTTATTAACCAGGCAAAAGTAGAATTTGACTGTGAAGCATATTTAGCCCAGAAATTCTAACCCTTTCAGAGGCCTTGGCTCTGCGAAAGGAACGGGACTCTGTGATTTACGTCAATGACTAATCTTAAAGGCCGACGACCAGTTCGCGCTTTCCACGTTTTCTTCGCTTCCTCCTCTCCCCCTTTTACCCTGTCCAGCGCTTCCGGTTTCCTCCTCCCCCATGGTGAGAAGGATCTTCTGCCTTGCAGAATCTCGGACCTGGTCGTCGGCCTCTAAAGGGGTTATGACACGCCAAAAATAAAATCTGAGATAACTATACTGCTAGGACCCGTTGTATGTTCCTATACTCCTGCTAAATTTGTTTTGAAAATGGCGCGAGAGTTTAGTGGATAAATCGATTTATATGCGGGTCCCTCGGAGGGGCGGATCCAGGCGCAGCTGGAGGCTGGCTACGTAGCCTGCTTCCAACGCGGTGTCTCCTTGCACGCACTCACAGACTTGGCTTTCTTGGCATCTCGAGCTTCAACTTCCTCGTTTACCTTCCATGCTTAGAGCATGCGATCCGTGACGATTACGTCTGCGGCATCGCTCGCCTTGTCAAAGTGTTTGACATTAATCGCAGCAGCGATGAGAGTGATTGCTATTATGAGATGTTGGAAGCAGTTCATTTTGACTGCGACCCGGTGGCGATCAGCTCCAATGACGACGAGTTACGGACAAACTCACCGTGGTCACCGTCGTCCGGGAATATCTCTCAGGCGCATGCAGGGTGGAAGGTCAAAGGGCCGGGGGCAAGAGCGAGAATAGTGTTCGAGTTACCGAGTTGCGTGAGCGGTTTTGATCCTACTGTGGCGAGGAGAGCTTGGGCGATCTGGGGGCACCTAGAATGAGAGAGTGTTCATGGTCACATGGTTTATGGACACCATGGTGTGACTAACTTGGGTAGTGTTGCCTGGTCGCCAGATAAAAGTGATAAAAGTTCGTAAATTGAATATTGCAATTACCAGAAGTCAACAAGTCGCGTAACTTGGTGTATATACGAAGTAGCCTATGAGCATTGCATTTCAAGTATAATCTACCTATTTAATTTTCGTGTCGTACCCCTTTAATAGAGATGTCTTGAACATGTATTCTTACACAATTCCTTCACTCCTTTTTTGACAGGTATGGAAAGATCGTTGTTGTGGATTTCCCGCAGTATATTTATTTCGGTTGTCTATTGTTTTGTACCCCACACCTGTAAGGCCTAATCAAAGCATCTGCCATGCCTTTTGAGTAAAGCACCGTGTTGTTCTTCCTCTGGTGTTCTGACTGTCTCCCGTTGTTCCTGTTTCGTCGCAGTGCATCGTGTTTGCAATGACATCTGGCCAGATGTGGAACCACATCCGTGGACCCCCGTTCATGCACAAGACGCAGCGCGGAGTCGTGAGTACCTTTCCGACCGCTCGGCATTTTATTGACAGGCAGGAAGTCTAAACTAGTCCGAGGTCACAACGACTTGCTAACTCTGACACCTTTTACTTCATACAAAGTTTTTTATGTTTTCAATGTGCACGACTGTTTTGTAGCATTTGGGCCAAGTTGATCTTTAAAAACTGCAGGGGTGGAAGCACTGCGGCATTGTGCGCCAATCCGCTTTCACTGCGCCATCCTTCTCCCAAGCGGAAATGTTGCGCCAAAACTGTGCGAAAAAGCATAGTTTCTTTGTTTGTAGATTTATTGGAGTACTTTTGTCTACTGGTCACTGGTTTAGCGTGTGGTGTTCGTTTAGATAATTGTGAACCGATGTCAATGTCAAAGTAAACGACTCTCGTCAACTTTGTCAAAAAAAAAAAATGAAAGCCGTTTACAACTCCCTGTAGCGCCGAATTTGAGCGCAGCTCTTGAGGAGGAGGAGGGAAGGGTACTGGGGGATCAGTTGACCTTGGAAGGGGGGGTTGGGGGTCACGTGACCTGGGAGATCACGTGACCTCGGGGAGGGGGTCACGTGACCCCCCAGGTCACGTGACAATGACGTCCTCAGTGATGATGACGATGACGATGCAGATGCCGATTACGTCATTGGCATCCGCATCGCCATCGTCATCATGACTGATGACGTCATCAGTGACGTCACTGATGACGTCATCGTCATCATCACTGATGACGTCATCGTCACGTGACCTCCCAGGTCACGTGACCCCCCCCCCCCCCTTCCCTAGGTCCTCCCGAAGAAACCCGAGGTGCTTCCGAGGTCCTCCCGAAGGAACCCGAGGTCCTAGGGGGGGGTCACGTGACGATGACGTCATCAGTAATGATGACGATGACGATGCGGATGCCGATGAAGTCATTGGCATCCGCATCGCCATTGTCATCGTCACTGATGACGTCATCGGCATCCGCATCATCATCGTCATCGTCATCGTCGCTGATGACGATGACGTCATCAGTGATCCCCCCCCCCCCCCCCTAGGTCCTCCCGAAGGAACTTGAGGTTCTCCCGAGGTCCTCCCGAAGGACCTCGGGTTCCTTCGGGAGGACCTCGGGTTCCTTCAGGAAAATTTACCCATAATGCACCGCGCAATTACGCCGACGGCGACGCCGACGCCGCTCAAGCCGGAAACGGGCGCCTAAGAGCTGCGCTCTAAAAATTGCGGCAGCTTAGCTCAGCTATATGTAGCTTGAGCTTATGCGCACAAAATGAGAGGCGCTATCAAGCGGCTTCGGTGCAGCGTCAGACTTGGCTACTGCGCAACGGAGGCGCACAGCTGGGCACGCGGCGGCACCAGTGCGTCTGCCGCGGCTACGACGTCACTCCTCTGGAATGCGCAGACCGGCAAGGCGGGCGCGGCGGAGCGCGCAGTGGCAACTTTGCGTGGCTCTCATAATGAGCCGTGCTCATTATGCGGAGCTTTGCCGCCGCCGCTGCGCGTTACGCATAATGAACACGGCTCGCATAATGACCACAGCTCATTATGAGGGCCACGCGAAACTGCTCAACCTCCTCGGCCAGTGTAGCTAACGCTACAAATGTTTAACATGTTATTAAAACGTCAAGTGCCTCTTTTCATCCGTGGAGAGACTGACAAAAGGCGACTACCTCTGATAAAATCCAAGATCGAACTGATTCGGGTTTTTATTTCCAAGCTATCCTCTTGTTCCTCCATCAGTGGCTATCGCCACAAAGCCCCCCCCCTTGGAGATGGAGCCGTCCCAGTGAACAGTCCTGCAGTGTTCCATGCGGGTTGCGGGTGCTACTGTAGAGCTCGAGGTAGCTTGCACGGTAGGAAGATCAGCCGGTTCAGCGATCGTATCACTCAACAAATGTCGGCTTGAAGCGGGCGAGGGACACAACCGTGTTAGGCCATTAAAAATTGGTCTGGTTTTTTCGGTCGTACTCGGTTGTATATGTGTGAATGGCGCTTAAAGGGAAGCTACGGAGCTTCTTGGAAAAAATGAGTTCGAAGTGAATTCTAGTGTATTTTTACCCCGTGAACCCGAATACCCAAACCATTTGCTGCTTAAGTATTGTTAAACGCGTGAAAAACGCGAAAGACAGTCGCTGTCCGTGACGTCATCGACGGCTCTTTTGGCTGCCCAAGGCTAAGGGGGCGGGGCTTCAGCCTTATTTTGAAATTGCTCTTGTGGCTCTCCGGCGCGTCGCATTGAAATAGAATTTTGATATCTGTTATTCTAAAGGCCAAATGAACGCCATTCAAGCGTTTTTTCTCAAATGTAGAAGTGCCCCATCTTCCCTTTAATCGGTCGGCGACTGCAATGACTGAGGCTACATTAAAAGGCACTCACGAAAGGCACTATGTCATTTGCTTCGCAGAAATGGGATACTATATAGTATTGTTAAATTTTGCATTAAAGTTGAGCCGAAATCTAAAATGAAACATTGGCTCCGTCTAGCAACATTGGCCTCAGGCCGCCAAAAACATGACTATTACGTGGAACGAGATGTCACCTGATTGTTTATGCGACGACGGGTGGGATTGGAGCGGGCAAGTGTCAGATGCATTCGTTATCTGCACTGCACTCTTCACTATGTTATGGCGTCCACGACATTCAACGTCGTCTGCACAACTGCCGCATCTGTCTGCGCACGTAATGTGAAGGAAACTCCGAGAGACAATAATCCCAAACGGTGACACGACAACAACGGTTGTGACGCGGGAGACGGTGGTAACAGTGGTACGGCTCCCAAGGAGCGCGCTGCACAGGCGCGTTTCGCTAATCACATGGACACTGCTGAGCGCTCAGAGGAAACGCTGCTCATGTCACCCATTACGCTTGCCCAGAGAAGGTCATCACCACTGTCACAAAGAGGCAATGGTGATGACGTTTAGCTCAATGTTGGCTACACCCTTGACTGCGCTATTGGTTGCACCTCAATTCGGCCGCTAGAGTAAGCCGATTTTTGCAACTTGGTGCCTGGCAAGTCCTTGTCAAGGAAACCCATTCCGTGCCACAAAGTAATCCTGGTGACAATCCCTTGGACGCCATAGCTGGTACCGAGCCAGCAGATATTCACCCGGATCTCCCACCAGCCCTGCTTGGGGACCATTTGACTACCAGCCAGCGGTCTGCGATAAGGGAAATCCTAGCCCAGCACCACAGGGTTTTTGCACACCACGAAGACGACTTGGGACATTTCACGGGCAAGCAACATCGCAAAGACCTGCTGCCAAATGCCTTGTCTTACAGCCCATACAGGTATGCTCCTGAGGACGTACAGTTCCTTGAAAAGCAAGTGCAGAAGCTCATGGCCCAAGGAATTATTCTTCCAGCATCAGGCTTGTGGGCTTTTCCTGTTGTCGTAATACAGTCGAATCTCGTAAATTCAAACTCGAGGGGGACCAAAAATTTGTTTGAATTAGGTAAACGAAGTTCGAATTAATGAAAGCTCATTAAATGGAGTACATTTATTTTCACCGATCACAAAGGGATGCAATCCGTGATGCATGCCTGTGTGTGGTTCTTCAGTCGTGAATCAACAAAGATCGCTTGGAGCTTGGAGACCAGCTCTAACGTGGCATCCGCATTCTCCAGGCAAGAGTAGTAGCACACAGTGGTGTCCAGCGCTTCGAGTGCTCTTCGTGATGCTGTTTCTTCCGCTATTTCCGTCTTGGAAAGTGCGCCTTGGTCAACTTCTTGCAGTATCTTTACCTTCGTCTTGAGGTCCTTTGGTGGGCAGTACGTGCCCCATCTCGCCATGACGCTTGGAATGGAGATAACATCAGTCGCGCGCCCACCAAAAACACATCAAACCACAGCAATGCGCGAGTGCAAGACAAGAAGCGGGACTGTCGGGCTCCCGCTGAAAACACAGCGAACCGCAGCAGTGCACGAGTGCTAGGCAAGAAACGGAACTGTCATACTCCCGCCGAAAACACGCCGAAGAGCAACAGCGCAGCAAACTTCAGTCACGCGCCCGCTGAGAACACGTCAAAGCGCAGCGACGCGCGAGTGCAAGGCAAGAAACGGAACTGTCACACTCCCGAGTGCTGCCGAAAACGCGCTGAAGAGTAGTGGCGCAGCACTGCGCAAGAGAGCATTCAAGTACAACACGTGATCGGTTGTCATGGTTATTTGGAACTGGAGACGTTGAAGGCGCCGCCGCGTGAGTTAGCCCGCTCCTGAAGGCATGTTCGGCAGCGCACGATGTTCGAATTAAGTGGCGCGGGCGTTTAAGCATTCGAATTACCGGGCAGTTTCGCCCATTGAAATACATATAGAGTAGTCCGGACCACAGCGTCAGTTCGAATAAACAGAAAGTTTGAATTAAGCGTGTTCGAATTAACAAGATTCGACTATATCTCGTGAAGATAAGAAACGTCTTTGCGTCAACTATGCGCCTCTGAATGACCGCACAATCCCAGCTGTGTACCCCTTGCCTCTTGTGGATGACATCATCCAAGCCATTGCCAGATGTGCATACTATGCGTCCATGGACTTGAAGTGCGCATACTGGCAAGTCAGCCTCTGCCCCCAAGACTTTGAGAACACTGCATTCAGCACCCACAACAGCACCTACATGTGGACTCAAATGCCGTTTGGCCTCAAAAATGCGCCGTCTACGTTCCAACGCATCATGCAGTCAGTCTTCCAAAACCTACAGCCTCGCCCCGACAAGTCGGGTATGAGAGTGTACCTTGGCGATGCCCTTGTCTACGCCCAGTCCTTCGACACCTTTGCCCTTCTTTTCCAAGAAGCCCTCCAGCTGCTTCAAAATAGTGGCCTCAAAGTCTCCTTGAACAAGTGTCGTTTTGGCCTCTCGGCAATCAAGTTCCTAGGCTTTGTTATCTCAAGCAAAGGTCAGCAGCTTGACCCAGATTAAGCCGCCTTCATCTGTCGCATTTCATGTCCTCAGGATCAAAAACAAGTCCTCTCATGGGTTCAGACAACCAGCTACTACCGCCACTTTTCAAGGACTTTTTCAG